ATTTCCGTATCTTACGTTGTACCATATATTAACACTCTAGTGTTAAAAAGTCCTTTCTTCCCCTCAGTCTCTGGAGATTGAACTACTGTGAAAAACAGATATATGTAAAGTGTTCTAAAATAACAAGCCTTTTAAAAAAGTCTTCAATATTGTGAACTTGTGCTACTTTCAAGCATCTTTACTCTTATCTCTGAGGGAATGGAACTAAACAAAACAGTCTTGAGCCATGAGGGTGTGAGCTAAATGCCATTTTGACTTACTGAAGTAAGTTACTAGCAAAAAATAGTGTATTAATTTTATATGAAGACCTTAAAATAGGATAAATATTTTTATAAAAATACATACTTTATCACAACATGTGAGAAACTTTGTAGAGACCATGGATACAAGTAAGTCCAATTAGGTGATATCTGTGGTTGTTTCTGTCATTAGACACTGAAAACTCCATAATTATATGTAAAAGCAATTCATCTCATTCATGGAGTAAATGCTTGAAATACAAATGCAACTGTCCAACACAGAATGGATAAGTGTTGAGCCATATGACCCATACTCTCCTGGTGCCTAAATAAATAATCTGAAAAGCCTTCCAAAACTGAATTAATAGATCTATGTCTGAGAAGCTGTTAAAAGCAAGACTGAAAGAGAGAAATCATTAGCTCCTGTTCGTTTTTAGCCAAACTGGAAATAACTACTTGAAAAATATCTGAGAATTTTTCAAGAACTAATGTGGCAACAACTATTTCTGGGAAGTGCTACAGAATGGTTTGCAGGAAAAAAGGAAATCTTTGTTAGGACAGTAACTAATTACAAAGCATTCTAGGCAGACTGAGAAACTAGTGCAACATCTTCTGTCCAGTATGGAAAAAAAAAAACAATGATACCATGAAGTAATAAAGTCAACCCTGAAATACACTAGCAGGGAGAAGCTGCAAAAAGGACAAACAAAGCTGAAAAGTAATTTCAAAATAATTTCAAAATTAAAATTCATTACTTTCATCAGGCTTGCTGGAAAGCCTTAACAATTGTTTCCTACCCAGTTTTACCTGCAGTAGTCTAAAAGGGAGAACAGGGACTTCTTGAACTTACATCATGCAAAAATCTACTGATTTTGTAGGGAGGCGCATCTGGCTCAGGTCAATGCCATCATCTAAAATAATGGTCAGGGAATCAAACAGGAAGAGTAATTCTAGTGAACTAACAATGTTTTAGTAGCCTCCCTGTGATGTTGTTACTGAAATTCCCCGAAGAGAAGAGACAGGTATGCCTTTAACATCTGGTATGAAGCCAGGGACCTAGCTAAAGACTGAGAGAGGTGCTTAAGGAACAATTCTATCAACATTGGCAGCGGAAGACTTGAATTGGGGGTCAAATACTGGTAAAGTTATCTAGAATAAATTAACAATTGGACAATATAGATATATCTGAAGGATGATGAGACAAGGCCAAAGACACTTAGAGTTTGTAAAATTGGTCACAGATCTCCAACTGACTTTCATGTTGGCGCACCATCAGACTGAACAACTGCCAGCAAGAAACACTGCTAGATCTAAAAGGATAAATTCCATGAGAAACAGCCATGAAAACTCAGCAATATGGATTTGGTTCTCATTTGGTTCTCATCTTAAAATAAGATGCCATAAGAGATACTATATAAATGTCAAGGGCAAACTCACCCTGTGGCTATGTGCATAACATTTGGGATAGGATGCTGTCATGAAAAAGGATGGTATTTTTGACCAAAGATGCTATCTTCTGTTGTTTTGGGGTTTTTTAGTGTGTTCACAGAAATGGCATTTTCTTGTAAATCATTAGGATTATGTCAAATTACTTAGCTCTGGCATTTATTTCTCCCCTGCAATGGGAACTGTTTGCAAGTGCTCAAACCCTGGCTAGCCAGCTGGGTCAAAAGCAGAAACAATATCTTGCTAAAATATGTTGGTCTTGGCAAGGATCTATTCAACACATCACCACAACAATATATTTAAATAGAGACACAAAAGAGAAAGCTTGCTAGTGCCAAAACAACCGGGAAAATAAAACCCATTTCCTATTCTCAATATGGCAAGTAATAAAAAATATCTGTTAACAATCAAATCAAGCTGACAAAACAATGTTAAAATGGCTAGGAATACAGCCAAAAAAGATCAGAACAGATACAGAGAGACAATATGCACTGGACTGTGAAGGCCATGTCACATCACCACAGAAAAAGACATAAAAGCCAAAATGATATGCATTATTGCTATCATCAATTTAAATATTTGGGAATATAATTAAAATATCAAATAAAGATGAACATACATGATATAGGGGAATACAGTTCTCTCAAAGACGTGCATTTCCTTCTTTGCTGATAGTTCTTCAGTCTGAACACTTTTTTCCTCACCTTTTCTTAATCAGAGCTGCTTCTTTGTATTCACATGGCACCTAGCACAATATAAACATCCTAAACACTAGCCACTATAATAACATATTACTCTGGTGACTGTGAGAACATAAACAGGTGTAGTCTACAATTAAGATGCCTTAAAATCTTCTAAAAGCATGGGTAACTCAAGGATGCCAGGCAAATAAATGTAGCAGTATCTTTTAACACCTTCTTGGAAAAAAAAAAAATAAAATAAATTAGTAACCCTTTGGACACCATTTCAACGCACATGGTTTCACAGCTGAGAAGGAGAAATCACTAATTTTTTTTTAATATATATTTAGAATGCCATTTTTCTGAACACCTACAATTCACCACTCAGGTCTAGTACCCACTGCAAAACTACTAGGATGACAAAACCCTTATTCATAATTTTAATAAATTTCATTCTAATCGGTGGCATGATTCAAGATGTGGTTTTGTACCTGGGAATGCAGGTTCCTAAAAGTATTCTAATATTAATCCATATTCATAGACTCATAGAATAGGGTTGGAAAGGGCCTTAAGATCATCTAGTTCCACCCCCCCTGCCATGGGAGGGACACCTCACACTAAACCATGCCACCCAAGGCTCTGTCCAACCTGGCCTTGAACACTGCCAGGGATGGAGCATTCAACCTTCCCTGGGCAACCCATTCCAGTGCCTCACCAACCTTACTGTAAACAACTTCTTCCTTATATCCAACCTGAACTTCCCCTAAGTTTTAACCTGTTACCCCTTGTCCTGTCACTACAGTCCCTAATGAATAGTCCATCCCCAGCATCCCTATAGGCCCCCTTCAGATACTGGAAGGCTGCTATGAGGGCGCCACACAGCCTTCTCCAGGCTGAACAGCCCCAGCCTTCTAAGCCTGCCTTCATACAGGAGGCGCTCCAGTCCCCTGATCCTCATGGCCCTCCTCAGGACTTGTTCCAACACTTCCATGTCCTTCTTATGTTGAGGACACCAGAACTGTACACAACACTCCAAGTGAGGTCTCATGAGAGCACAGGAGAGGGGCAGGATCACGCTCCTCTTGATGCAGCCCAGGATACGGTTGGCTTTCTGGGCTGCGAGTGCACACTGAAGCTGGCTCATGTTCATTTTCTCATCAACCAGCACCCCCAAGTCCTTCTCCGCAGGGCTGCTCTGAATCTCTTCTCTGCCCAACCTGTAGCTGTGCCTGGCATTGCTCCGACCCAGGTGTAGGACCTTGCACTTGGCATGGTTAAACTTCATGAGGCTGGCATCAGCCCACCTCACAGGCGTGTCAAGGTCCCTCTGGATGCCATTCCTTCCCTCCAGTGTATCAACCAAACCACACAGCTTGGTGTCATTGGGAAACTTACTGAGGGCGCACCCAATCCCACTGTCCGTGTCACTGACAAAGATGTTGAACAAGACCAGTCCCGACACCAATCCCTGAGGGACACCACTCGTTACTGGTCTCCAGCTGGACACTGAGCCATTGACCACAACTCTTTGTGTGCGGCCATCCAGCCAGTTCTTCATCCACCGAGTGGTCCACCTATCGAATTGATGTCTCTCCAATTTAGAGACAAGGATGTCATGCGGGACAGTGTCAAACGCTTTACATAAGTCCAGGTAGACGACATCAACTGCTCTACCCCTGTCCATCAGTTCCGTAGCCCCACTTTAGAAGGCCACCGAATTGGTCAGGCAGGATTTCCCCTTAGTGAAGCCATGCTGGCTGTCACCAAGCACCTTGTTGATTTTCATGTGCCTTAGCATGCCTTCCAGGAGAATCTGCTCCAAGATTTTGCCAGGCACAGAGGTGAGACTGACTGCTCTGTAGTTCCCTGGGTCATCCATTTTCCCCTTCTTGAAAATGGGAGTTATATTTCCCTTTTTCCAGTCATCGGGAACTTCATCTGACTGCCATGATTTTTCGAATATGATGGACAGCGGCTTAGCAACTTCGTTTGCCAGCTCAACAGCTATGTTAAACAATACCAGACCATATAAGCTTCCCAGCTGAATATTAGCCCGGTCCCCGAAGTGCTGAGACCATAAGAAAACATTCATATGTGAGAAAGTTGCCAGATGATACACTTTTCTTTTTTTTAGGATAGAAACAGGGAGGCACAAGCACCTGCATAATTTAATAGGGGAAGAAGTACTTCAGTCGCTAAAATACTATCATACACTTGATTTGCCCAACAAAAAGCACAAGGTAATTTTATTTTCACTCCAGAGGTTCATTTTTTCACTTACACTGCATCATTCAAGAGAAGAGGAAAAAAAAAACAAACCAAACCAAAAAGATGTATTTGTGTACATTTTGCAAAAACGCAACATGCCTTGAGTACTGTAAGTGGAAGTTAGCAGGGCTTTCAGGCTGATAGAGTTATCAAAATGGTGAAAGAGGATACACAATAAAGCAATATGGCATGCAAGAAACTGCAGTCTTTAGATTTTGCTTTGCTTTCTTAATCAATCAGCTGACAGCTTATACAGTTTCTAATGACTTGTGATTGTACAAGAATATTGAGTTAATACAGGCCTGTGAGGTCTCAACACACTGTGATAGTGTCATTAGTAAAAGAAAATGGTGGGAATAAGGGATACCTCCTTCGTCAGATGGCCTTGTTACCTCACTGCAGTAAGAAAAGGTAGGGTTCGTGTCTGAACCATCTGATTTATACTCTCCCAAACTGGTAGAATGTACATATTGCTTACTGTAACGGCTTGCTCTTTCTACAATGGTCGAAAGAAAGAATATCACAATAAATAGATGACAGAAGTGCAAAGACAAGCAACAACAAAAATCCCAACACTGCTAACATTGATATCCATCCAATGATGGCATTAAATTTAGACAAAAGTAAATTGTTCACAATTCTGTATACATTTTAAACCCCATGATTTCAGAGTGTTGCTTCAAAATCAGGTACAACTAATCTTGTTCACTGCTTTAAAAGAATAGCAGAAACGAAAGGCAGGATTGAGATACTGGGTTAAAAAAAGGTATAAACATGAAGCTTATGAAAACTTCCAGTGGAAAATCAAAATGTTCCTTTATCTCAGCATGCATACAAATGCATGTGTAAATACTACTTTATGACATTCAGAATATCTAAAGTTCCAAAGTAGCAAAGAAAATAAATGCACAAAATTAAACATTCAAACACTTCTAGGGGAAAAAAATCCAAACGCTTGTAGAGCCAATACATTGCTGTCTATTATTACATTACTTTCTCTCCTTTTCCATTTACCCTTAAATTATGAACACCTTGAAGTTGCAAAGAATAGCACAAGGCATAAGATCCTGTGCTATATGAGCAAAATGTGCATGGAAAAGAAACCAATTTCATAAATAGGCCACCTTCTATATCTCTGAAATTTTAGTAAAGTTGAACTACTTGAAGATTCTACTTATAATGAGGACAAAGTAGGTCAGTGCTTTTTAAGTGACTGCTTGTAAGCAGTATGAATAACTGTTATTTAGGAAAAGATTTATTTCACTATTCCTTATCTGCACATGTGATTATAGCTGAAGTTCCTATAAAGTACTGCTTTTAATATACTACAGTTATTTATATATATATTAAAACATAGTTATAAAACATATGGCTAGCACACTGACCAGGAAATTTACTGTATCAACTTAGTGTTATAAACATAAAAAGGTGAACTGGGGAAAAGACAGGATATAAGCAATACCAGAAAGCATATGCAGACTCCTAGACTGAATATTGTCCTCCAGAGGATCAATGTCGAAGATGGAGCCAGGATCTGTGCGCCAAACTTTAAGATCTTTTCCCAAAGCATAGAAATTATGACAGACAAACAACAAGGAAGTAAAGGCATGAAAGGAATGACTTTTAACAATCAGCAACCAACTTCATCTAGAAATTACTCAAAAAATCTAGATATTCACTTGAAAGGATCAGAAAGCATTAATTTCCTGCTTAAAATAACTTACTGCATTCATTGTAAGCATTGACAATATTTTCAGGAGACTTTTTCTCCCAAATTTTGGATTCTTTTTCTAAATATAAACACGGTAATTATTTTAAGTCTAAACAAATGGGACCAAGTATGACATATCGGAGCTCTTTTCCACTAGCAGAACCAAACCCATCAGTTATAAGATATTGCCTCAGTCCAACAGCAGCATCCTTACTCCATAGAGATGTGGCAGTATATATCCCATAGACTGGATATTAGGAAAAATTTCTTCACTGTAAGGGTTGTCAAGCATTGGAGCAGGCTGCCCAGAGAAGTGGTGGAATCACTATCCCTGGAGGTATTTAAAAGATGTGTATATGTGGTGCTTAGGGATACAGTTAAGTGGTGGACTTGACAGCGTTAGGTTGATGTTTGGACTCAATGATCTTAAAGCTCTTTTCCAACCTAAACAATTCTATTATCTGCTATGTCTAAAAATATAATAATCATTTACTCTCTTCAAACCAGTTTAAAATAAAACCTTGATGCAAAGTACAATCAGTTAAAGCACAAATCTATGCTTTCTGCTAAAGGTTTACTTCTTGGGCAGACCTGTCTGCAAGATTTACTCAATGCATTGGAAGTGGGGAAAATAACTGTCTTCTCAACTTGATCCTTTCACTGGTTTGAGTAGCAGCAAGCTAAATAATGGGTTGGTAGGTAATGTAGGACTGTGGGGGCCCCATACACTTCATATTTCAAATCATGAATAGCCAAAAAGAACAGGCAAAGCTAATAAAACAAATCCCATGGCTTCAGAATACATTCAATGTATGAACATTATGTGTTATCTACTGCAGCTCCCGTAAGGTGAGGCATAGTGCTAAGTCCCTCTTGACACAATGAATAAAAGTCAATGCAAAATCTTTTGATAAACTATGTTTTAGTCCTGACAGTGATAAATTATGCAACTACATAAAGCACTGACAGGATTGAGAGAGGTGGGGGAACTGGTGAATGCCCAGCCTTTCCTGTTTGATCATGCCTTAGTAAGTAAAAGCATAGTAAGAATGACTTCATGGCAGCATCAGTGCATCAATCATTGATTTGTATTGATTTTGTATTGATCCATCTCTGTAGTCTGAAATAATGTACAGAATCAGAATCTTGTCAATTTAAAATATCCTTATACTCACATGAGAGTTATGAAGGCCCTTTAGTCAAAGATCTGAAGCTCAGTTAGATTAATTTATCTTGATGGGTTTAGAATGGCTTTAGCAAGGTTAAAACTAGTACCTATTTTCCAAAGCAGAGGCATTCATTTTAGCAATCACACATTTTAATAAGTCGCTACAGCTTCACTGCTAATACTTTAAAAAACAAGATGGACTCTAACACAGAGGTACTTTTGCTAACTGGCTGAACAATTACTAGCTAGGAAAAAACACAGTTGTTTTTTTTCAGTCTGCAATTTTTTTCTAGCTGCCAAGGACATTCCGTGAGCAGGGAGCTCACTGCTTCTTTTCAAACAAGCAGATATTATAACTGAATTTCACTCTGAAAAAGCATTAGCTGAAATATCACTCTGTGTTAAGCTCACAGGTTTGTCATGGCCTCTTTTCTGTAAATAGCCGTACTATTTTGCTGTTGGGCAGGCCTGGGTTGTTAAGAGTTCCTGTGTGTTTTGATACTGGAGTATTTTAAGGTGATAAACAGAATTAATATTTTTGTTACTTACAGCTCAAGAATTATTTATGTCATTGCTAATCCCTTTGTGCTAGCAAGCCCTCAGCTACTGAATACAGGATTGCACATGATTCTTACATAGGGCTACAACGCACATGTAGTGGAATAGAGAGTAGGAGGTTTGAAGTGCACACTAAAGAGCATATTGCAATTTGTGTATGAAACTGCAGTTTTAAAGGAACTTTTATTTCTCTCTTTGGCTGCACCACTCTAGCCATGAAAGCGAGTTCAAGTTCTTGGGTCTCTACAGACAGAGATTTTCTGAACAAGTTGCTGACCCTCTGAGACTTGCACGATCTTAAAAGCATCAGTACCTTCCACAGGGAGAGCTCTTTAAGCAGTTGCTTTTGAGAAATCCCTTCTGACATAAGTATGTAGCTATGGACACATAAAAAGTGGCTATACAAAAGGAAAGAAATACACTTCTTTATGTGGTAGATACTCATTTTGAGACTTTAAGGAAAACACTGAAGCATCATCTGCCAGGAATGACATAGACATAGTTAACCCAGCTTTAGGCAGGAAGTTAGACTATATCACCCACAGATTAGTCCACTTGACCTGCAATTTCTTTGATTTTTGAAAGGTGGACTTAAAGTCAACTCCTGCTATTATTACTATGTATGAAGGATTTTAGAGGGCTATCTCAGCATGTTTTTCCATATGCAGACCCTCTGGGGTCTACACTTGTAAAGCACAAAAATAAACCCAACAAAAAACAACCCACAGAGAAAGGACACACAAAAAGAAGAGGGGGGGGGGAGTTCAGTAAAGGTCAGGTTACCATCTCCTTTGACATAGCAGACTTGCTAACTTTAAAGGGATTTCAAATATCCATTTTGATTTTGAGAGAGTGTTTATTATGAACACCTCAAATTACATCTTAATGCAATACTCTGTCTCTGCGTAGAAAACCAATCTGTATGTCTACCCCTTGAACACCTGGTCCTATCTTGAACAATTGTTTAGTACACCATTTCTGAATAGTGGTGTTTTTACCAGAGATCTAATGAGTTGTTGATGAATTACAGCTTGACATACTTTGAAAGCTGTGTGAAATTCTAAAACAAGAGGTAAGTGGAGCATGTGCAGCTCTGGAGAAATTGCTGAATAACAGAAGGGGAAATCTCAAACTGGTCTGCAACACTTAAACATTGACATCTTGGAGAATGACAGTTTTCATCATCTCACTTCTGTGCAAGATTAAGATTATTGCAGATATTTTAGCCTTTCTTGAAGAGTCAAAATTCAAACTTGAAGTAATAGCAACAACTACCCATACTTACAACTAAAAATTACAGAGCAAACGGTAATTTATCTCTCATTCATTCCCATTATTGCTTTGCTAGAAGCTGGCACTGAACCAGTAGTAAAACATAAGTTTCATGCTGTGAAGAGTGAAAATGAAATCTTTTTCTTGGTTATAATGGAGAATACAAGCAGAAGTTTTCAGCTTTCCCACACTGTTTTCAAGAGCAACATTACTTAACAACTTACCAACAATTATTCCAGGTCTTCTATCCATTTCAACAATATGTGGATGCACACCTTTATATGCTGCGTCACTCACAATTTGGGTGTTTTTCCGCACACGCTCTGTTACAGGATCATCTACCACTGGAGTGAAGCCTCTACCCTTTGTCTTCTCAAAATCTTCATGATATTTTACCTAGGAAAACAGGAAGAGTTACATTTTTCCCCAAGCTTCCATTGACAGCAAATGTTATTCTACACAGGAATATTTGTTTCATGAAGTACTTATATTGTTTGGGGTTTGCACCATAACAGACTTGTTACACACATGAAATAAGCTGGATGGCTGGCCAAATCTTTTCTATCTCACTAACCTTCCTGATACTTTAGTATAATTTTTGCCTTTGTTTTCCACTGAATTAGGCATTAACCCAAGCAGCAAAGCATGATCTTACAGGCACATAGGACAGGAAAAGTCTGTGAGGTCATTTGGCCCATTCCCTTCTTCTCTAAAATAGGATAGCTCTCTACTGATGTAGACAACTACATCTACACGATTAAAATTAGACAACTAAAAATGTTCAATCAATAATAGTTCTAAAGAACTTAAGTATTTTCTTTCACTGGGAATTTTGATTTTATGCAAGGTGTCATGCAAAAGGTACTCTTTTGCTCTTTTATTTTACCATATGCTAACTGTCTTTAAACATACTTTTTAGAAAGAACTGCAGTTATTCTAAGCAGCTTGCTTTCAAAAAACAACAAAAAAGAAGTAATTAAAACCAAGGACATTAGGGTACAAAGTGTTATACAACCAAGTGTTGCAACAAAACCAGTATTAGTAAGAGTTACAAAGGTAGTACTCCTGATTATGCATATTTACTTTTTAAATAGTCTTAATCATCAAAGAATTAAATTGACAAACATTCTCACACAAGCAAATGCTCACAAAACGACTCATTCCAAGAACAAAAGTCACGCAGCAACCAGGAACGTGCACAGGCACAAGGTGAAGTGTGTCACCTAATCCAGTCAAAACTGTGTGATGCTCAAATGAGGCATGTACTTTTTTAAGGGAAAAAAAAATCAAACAAACAAAAGATCAGACATTTAACTGTTAGAAAACTGTTTATTAGTATTTTGAAAATGTTCATTACAGTCATATGCAGTTAGCAAACACTCCATCAACAGGCATAAGAAAATATTCCTTCCATACTTGAGCACAGTTTCATTAGTTACCTATATTAATGGAAGGCAAAATCCAGTGGAAGTCAAGTGCCATTCCTTAGTATACTCAGTTATAGGAAGAAAGTACCCTACCATTGAGATGTTGGTTTGTGTTTCTTTGACATGCCTTAGCTCAGGTGTGTCTAGAAGCACACTACATCTACCTTTCATCTGCCTCTGATCACTGCTGTACTTGACCTGCAAAACAGCAACAGCACACATGAAGTTTTTGCTTACAGTAGAAAGGATGGTGAGAATTACACTGTGCAACAGTAAACCTTTCCAAATCATGATAGACAATGTCATTCTTGTTTCTTTCTTTACATTCTTTGTCTAGTAACTTATTTCAGAGGGAGGATACTGATGAGCTAGTATATCAGAAAGGCTACAGGGCAAATTTATTCCATCAATCACTTACTCGAAAACAGGGTTACCTGAAAGCTGAAACTCTTGACCAAATGACATAAATGAAATAATTAATTTGTGAACTGAAAAATAAGATAAAAAATAAGAAAACATCACTGTGACTTGGACGTCTTTAAAACATCTTTGTAGGGCTGATGATAAACTACCTTCCCACTACCCAGACAGACCCCGATTCTGTCCTCAAGCCTGCTCCAGGTTGGGCTTAGCTGAGAACTCCTGGGTCCCCAGGGAATTCAGCTCTTACAAACAGATTAGTCCTTCGGCACCCTTCTTACTCCTGTTTGGTGACTAGTCTTTGCTAGCAGCACAAAAGCAACATGTCTGGTACAAACGTGAATATCCTGTTTCCAAAGACAGTATTTGGGCTCTCTTGTTCATCAGTAAGAACAGAACCTCTTGTCACATTTCTCCTAATTAGCTTCTTTTGTGGCATTTTACAGAGTTATAAAGATATGAACCTTGGTTCATTACCTACTAAAAAGGGGGGGAGGGGGGGAACCCACTCAAAATCTTAAAACGGTAAAAGTAGTTGCTCCTACATGTTGGTTATAGAGTGAATACTCTTACAGCTGCTTCTGGCTGGTTGAAATCTACTAACGGACTGTTAGTTCCTACACTGTATTGTATCCTGTGCATTGAATGTTAGTAAATATTTTAGATCTACCTATATGTTCACATTCACAGTATTACCTCTCAAATCAGTTGTGCAAATCTATTTCAACATGTATTTGTGATGAGAGAAACCAAGTACTGAAATTGTCTAACTCTCCTTAAAATTACATAGTACCTAAGCACAACATACCTATGAAAATATGAGTCTTGGTGTCTACATTCCTTTGGTAAGTCTGAAGCAATGTACAGAGAAACAGAAATATATGGTACTGCATATTTAGACTCATAGAATAGTTAGGGTTGGAAAGGACCTTAAGATCATCTAGTTTCACCCCCCTGCCATGGGCAGGGACACCTCACACTAAACCATGGCACCCAAGGCTCTGTCCAACCTGGCCTTGAACACCACCAGGGATGGAGCATTCACAACTCCCTGGGCAACCCATTCCAGTGCCTCACCGCCCTTACAGTAAAGAACTTCTTCTTTATATCCAATCTAAACTTCTAGTGTTTAAGTTTTAACCCATTACCCCTTGTCCTATCACTACAGTCCCTAATGAAGAGTCCCTCCCCACCATATTTGTCATGGTTTAAGCTGAACCCAGGACAATATTCTTCAAACCCTTCTTAATTAAACACAAATTATAGCAAATATACCAGCAAATATATTCAGCCACATATCCTTTTGAATATAAGGCATTTTCTGAACAGAGACAGTCAACATAGCTTGGTTTTCGTATACTGCTCCTTAACATAGAAGAGTATTTATTCCTGTAAATCTTGAGAAATGAAGTGAAGGAATCACTTGGGAAAAAAATGAAAAGAAAGCTTAATTTTCAGAAATTAAAAAAAGAAAAAAAATGAAGTCTAGAATTGTTGGGAAGTTTTCCTCATTTTTAACTATGCACCTCAAAACTAATTGACTTCAGTAAATAAATATGCATAAGCATTTTAAGACCACTTAAGATATATAGTTACAAGGTCAGATTCTGTTCCTTTGTCAGACAAAGCCTCTGACAAATTCAACCTACTTTACTTTTCACTCCTACACTCAGTTCTAAAGTCTAAAGTGTTCACTACTACTAGTTCTCTTCTGCCACCTTGAAACAGTGGCTTTGCATGAAATCTGTTCTATTTACCATCTACAGCAGCTTTGTCACTGATGTTTCAGTGTTGAGGACGCAGACAGTAATGCAACTAGTCTAGTCCTTTTCTTCACCATGCCTGTTGGACTTCTTCCTTGGTCTTTAATAAAACTGTCTGCTGCTTCTTACATCATTGTAGTGGCAATAAAAAAAAGGGGGAGAGAGAGTATGTTTTATCATGAAAGCCAAAGAAAATACAGTATTTTATTCTTTACTATTTACTAATAGGCTCTATTTAGGAATATTCGGCTCTACCATAGGTGCCATGTCTCAGAGTGGAATGGATGGCTATAAGCTTCCATGTTTTGAATCATTAAAAAACCTAAATTTTCACTAAAGATTAAGTTCTCATTTCCTTTGCTCTTTACTGTAATTTACTCCTGCAATCTAGCAACTAAAACCTGGACCAAGAGATGAAGATTCTTGAAAGAAAGGCTGACCTCTTCTGGCTCTCTCCTTGAAAAATACTGGTGTAACACAACTACTTGCTTTATTTGCAAAAATAATCAGGCAAGTCTGAATATTTTTGTTGCCCACATGTATGTGAAATGCACATACTCAAAGGATTTAAAAAAAATTTAATTCAGTGGATGATTCACTTGACACATTAAGTCTAAATGGAAAAGCATATCCTTGTTATATTCCTACAGCAACTGAAAATCTAAATGACAAAAAGATTGAAACAACTTGCCGAGCTGATATTGTCTTGATTCTTCTTGACTCTCTCTATCTCTGGAGTGACACTCACAGCAGTAGCTTTGCCAGGCTGCTCTCTGTAGTGAACCTATTATTTAACAGAATAAAATAGCACATACTATTTCAGCTAAAGCAGTATCACATTGCATTACATTAAAATGTCTGATTTAAAAGGTCATCCAGGAAACAGCTGAAGAGCTAAAATGTATTTGGAGTTTATTAACGCTTATAAACTCAATTTTTGAAGCATAACCTTGAATTCTTTCTCTATAATATTCTTATTAATGCATTTGTGTGGATACATACACACACATGCACACAATATCTTGACATTTACCTCACTGGTTTTTGGCTGTATAGAAAAGTATATTTAGAATGGTACAAGCCACAAATAATGCAGTAAAGTCAAGCAAAGCACATGAAAAACTGAATTTCAGCAATGCCCACTGTAAAAGCATATTCGTCGAGACACAGAGATTAAATAAGGATACCATCCATGTCCTTGCTTTTATAGACTATGCAGTCAAAGGTGAGCAAGCAAAGTAGATGCAATACATCAGACAACTGCCAGTTGAACCTAACTGCCTAAATTTCACCATGTGTTTATTTAAATGTACTGTGGGAATATCCCCTCTATTGCTTTTTTAAAAAAATAGCATTGTAGCAATGATGCATTAAATAAATACACACTCGAGGCAGGATTAGTATCTAAAGTGGATAAAGGACAGGATGTGGCATTGACAGATGACCCTGGCCCTAAATACTGGGAAATTAGTTATGGTAAATATTTAGTAAGTAGAGATTCTTGCATGATTTATGCCAATCCATATAGTTTCATGTAAAATAAGTACTCCCATACAAACCGTTTGGTTGTGTTTGTTTTGGGCTTTTTTAATAAGCTCTTGGATAACTATGCTGATACTTTATGCTCATAATTCTGCTGTGCACTGCAGCATTAATGTACATATTGTTCAAGCAATTGTCTTCCCACACAACACATTTTGTGTCTGTCCACGTCAACATATTCCAACTGAAAAATTAACATCTTATAAAAATGATGGTAAGCTATCAAATGAATTAATCTTGCCAACTGACATTTGTAAAGGTAAAATGATTATTCTAGACTTAATGCTTCTAGAAATGTCTGAAGTTAAAGAATCTCCACCCAAAGCCATCCCAGTGACCTGAAAGAGAATTTAATAAATGTGCACAACACAAAAATTGGTGAAAGATAAACAATGGTGCCAGTAGAACTACATCGGCATGAATCACTTAAGAAAACAGGATTGTTTGAACAGCATGCATTTTAGGAGAGCTAGATTTATCAACATAAATCCAGAAATAAAGAGCAAACACTAAAGTTAGAGGGACAGTATTATTGAAAATTATAACTCTAAATTAATCTGGGGAATGTGTCCGGATCATCCCAGGGAAGCATCATAGCTATTCATAACCCCATGAAATAGGGCTGCTGGTGGCAGCTGTCAACAAGGACAACAGAGAGTCTCCCAAACTCATTAACAGGGTACAACTTCAACAGTGAAGGAAGGCAGCAGCCTGCTCCAAAAGGCCTTGTCTTCTTTCCTGCACTCCTGCAAACAGTATGACTTTCTAATGGTTATGTCAGCCATCAAATACTAAATTGGAATAATACTGATAGGAAGCCTACTGAGGAACCAGAAAGAGCCAGGAAAGAGGTGGAGTTTGAGTACAGCTTGTGACATTTTTTTTTTTACAATGCAAAGCAAAGGGAAAAAAAAATGGAAAAGGATATTCTGTAAAAAAAAAAAAAAAATCCATCTAGATTTCCTGCAAATATCCAAGACAGAGAAATAACATTTCAAAACATTGTATCCACTTCTCTAATCAAATACATGATGCTTCACATGCCATTTCCCAAACCAAGCAATGGCTTTTCACAATTGCTTCATAAAAGAGTGTTTTCAAGACTTTCCAGTACTGAGCCTGCACCTACGTAAAGAAAAGGAACAGCTTCTGGAGGCAGAACTTTGTACTCATTCTCTGCACCCAAAAATTATATAAGGGTTAAACAAGAGCAACTTCCCATGCTGACATTCTCTTGATTCTTCTTGACTCTTTCCATCTCAGGGGTGACACTCACAGGTGTAGCTTTGCAGAGCTGTTCTTTGTACTGAACCTAGGAAACACAGCAGAAAGTATTACACAGGCACTTCTGCATAATCAAAATACAACACTGTGCTAAACCATTAAAGAGCACACTGATTTTGGATGGAAAATACCAGTCCTTAATAAATATCTACATCTTTTCACACGATACTTAGTACTCACCCTCTAACAATTCTATTCCAGACAGACAAGTGATACTTTCAGCAGAAATACTTCACTCTCATTGATGTTAATCAAAGTGCAAGGCTAAAGAATTACCATTTTAACTGATTAAATTAGTCTTTGTGGACAAACACCACAGACAGATTCACAGAGGCACAAACAAATTTAAATACAGCAGAGAGAAGTGTGTAAGCAATGGGGCACACATTGCTAATATTCTTCTGGTTTTCTTTAACTCTCCTCAGTTCAGGTGGATCAGAAATAGTTGTCGCACGATGAAGTTCTTCCTTGTATTTAATCTGCACAGTAAATATTACAGATTATTAGCAATTTAAAGAAGATAAAGATAAGCATTAACACCCACAAACATTTTGTAATCTCTCCCTTACACACACTGCACAGATGGACCACAGCTATGAACAATATTGACCTGAAAATGAATGGTTATATTTCATTTCTGAAACAGGCTGCTAGGGTCTCCAACGCACCTGGTTTGATATAATAAAGCAGAGAGTGTATATAACATGCCTACTATCCTAAAACTCTTACAGAGGGAATATACATCACATGGGACTGTGGTTATCTTCATGATAATTGGCACCCTGGGTATACCACTTGGAGATATACATCACTTTGACTATGTCTTGGTCTTGCTGTTCTCTTGCTATTGAGTCTACCAGTCCATTTCAGAAACCAGACACTTCTTAAAAGGGTGAATAACCTCAAATTCTTATTCACATTTTCTAAAAACACACATAGGCGTATCAGAGAAATGCAGATGTTTGGATGGATGATGCCTTCAAAGATGCTGTCAGATATTTACTGCTCCTTTTGCCACATTCAATCTCTTCTAAACAGCAGTATGTTTGGATATGGTAGAACTCCATAATCTGAAAGATGCACAGAACTAGAATTTCTTCAGATATACACCATATGTACCAAAACTGGAATTTAATGTAATGAAAAAGAATTGTATGGTTAGGTGAATGTGCTAATAAAGAGAAAGGCATCGTATTTTCTGTTTTCCATATGCTATCCAAAAATCTCATCTTGGACAAATCTGTGCATTGTCTTTGTCTTACTGTCTGTTACTACATACCTGTCCAGGATTCAGCACGCTGAGCTTCAAATCTTTTATGCCACAGTAAAATTAACAATCCTTTACAGTGATACAGCATGCTTTCTTTTTCTTTACAATGGTAAAACACAAAATTCACAAAAACATTCAAAACTGTGTGGGCAGTGATGCATAATAGTTGGAAACATTTTTCATTAGTGAGACTCAAGGAAGGAAAAGTACTTTAAGAACAAGGGAACAGCATAATGAATTGATTTGTATGGTTTTATATTAATGTGGCACACAAAACTTCTGCTGAATACATTTTAAGGCTGTAAAACCAGGGACTCAAAAACTGGAAAATGACACAATTAACTTAAATGTAACCTTAGTTTTGTCCTTAGTACAAATATGTGCCATTTACAGCCTTTAATATAATTTATACTTTTTCATTCTTTTCCTCTTACAGTGCTCTATAATCTTTTTTATCTATTATCAAAAGCTGTTTTTCTTCATTCATTACACATAATCAATGACCCTTAGTGAGTAATTTGCACACAGACTGTGACATATTGGTTTGGGTTTTTTTCTTTAGCTGCTTTAAGGTCCTGTTTGGATGACAGAATTACTGATTTCTTCAGGAGCTCTTCTTCTTTGTGGTTCCTTGCTAAAGCATCTGAGTTTCTCACACACATTAATTCACTAATTTTGCTGTGAAATGAGGAAAAGGGAATTGTGACAAGGAAAAGTGCTATTTTTACTAGAGAGCACAGACAAGTAACTAATCTGGCTACATAATTTAAAAAAAAAAAACCGTAGGATTACAAAGCACCTGCATTCAATTGGGAATTCCCATTAAACTGTAGTCTGCAAAACAGAAAACCAGAGCAGGTCCACCTCTATGGTAAATGATAAAATCATCTACTTTGGCAATGGATCTTTAGGTCTAGACACAGGGACTTGAATTCCCATTCTTGCTTTTGAGTATTGACTTAGTGACATTAACAATACTCTCTAAGGTTACCTCTTGGGGAGGCAGTTTCTCATGATTTAAAAAACTACAAATGTACATTCCTTCATGTGCCTTCATCTTAAGCCTCTTGTGGTTTGTTTAGACTGACTGCACAAACCCATAAGAACAATCATAGTTTGCTACCTCTGTGGATACAGGGAGCTTAGAACAAGATGACCTTAAGGTCCTTTGCAACCCCAACTATTCTATAATTTAAAAAAGGGAAAATATTTAACAAAGAGTATCTCAGACAGACATTGGCAGCAAAGGAGTGGTGAGTCTAAATGACCTTGGATTCTACTTCAGCTCTTCTGAAAGGAAGCACCTATGCACAAGGAGCACATCACCTTCACCCATCTTTCCCCACATCTGGCCTGTCCACTTCGACCAAGCCATTCTACACTCTCAGTTCCTCATTCCTGGCCTCCCTTTTTCCCAAATTCACTGCACCAAATCTCACTTAGTAGATAATTTCCAACTCTCTTCTCCAGACATGGTACTTCTGGAGAGTGCCAAATTTTTTAACACAGACAAAACAACTTGTTTTTCTCTAAGCTCACACTTGGAAGCTGCTTTGGCTGAAATTTATAAATAAATAAATAAAACCAAACCAATCCAAAGCACAAACCAGGATGGAAAATTTCAGCCCAGACGGTTAAGGACTGGCAAAAGAACTAAACCACTGGAAAAAAAGGGGGCTTTTCAATAGAGACTATTAGGTAAGCTCAAGAATTGGCAGTGACACTAGTCCTTAAATGCTTAAAAATGTCCATTGCTTGAGTCTTAATCAGACCCCAGCTTTGTGATGTTGACTGACCTATCACAGGGGTTTCCTCATGGATTTCACATATATAAAACCACAATTAGAATCTTCCCCCAAAAGCCTTCTTCCTAGTGCTGTTTCTAGACCTGCCTGTCCCTCGATATAAACAAATTTTAAAAAAACTTAGTATTCATAGCTTCTCAGTTCAGATTCGGTTGCAGTCCATAGATCTTATGTTTGCTTTTACTGTTCTGTGAGATCTTGACTCCAACTATTTAGAAGACTGCTTCTTCCAAATCAGTCATCACAACAGGTGAGATGAGCTCAGCCCTCTTGGCTGCCACCACCTTGTTTTTTAGGATTTAAAAACAGACTGTTCTGATCTGTGTCTCCTACACAGGTCATCTGGACGCATCTCATCACTTTTGGAACATGACGCAATGTCCTTTTTTGCATGGAATGGTTTGTACAGTGTGTGTTATTTTGGTTTGGTGTTCTGGGGGTTTTTGCACTGCAGATGTGCTTCTATTCCACAGTTTCATTTAGTTCAGCAAATAGTTTTAAAGCTGTCCAAAGTCCTTCTGGCTAAATTCAAAGCTATGTGTAAAATGTTTAAATCTAATGGAGTCAAAATTGGCATAATTTACCCTTCCTTTGGGACTCCTGTAAATTACACAATATAATTTCCCTCTTACTGTATAATATATTTTCCCTCTTACTGACATATAATTTAAAACTTTCTTGCACATTGCCTTTAAATTTGGCATTCTACACTTTTAATAAATATAATACAAGACTTAAGAAAATTCAAGTACACTATATATAATAAAGTATCTTTTGTAAAATATTAACTCTACACACAGATTAGCAAGGTAAAGGCAATGCTACTTACATCATACCACTAATGCATTTTGTGTTTCTCTTCATATGCTTTTGTTCAGGTGTGTTTACTAGCATACTGATCTACTTTTCATTCTCCCCTCTTCACTACTTAGGACTTCTGAACTAGCAAGAGCACTGTACACTATTTTTCCATTTAATTTTTAAGGGTATTGAGAAAAAGCAATAGATTAAGACTACTCCTAACAATCCTGTGTGTGTGTTTGTGTAACTACTCTCAAAATAAATGACTGCGGTAACCCTAACTCAAATAGGCAGCAGGAGATTAGGGTTTTGTTTCCAGAATGCCAGTAGAAAACTGGGGCAGGGGAGGGAGAAGGGGAGGGAATCAACAACAACAAAACAACCACTAGATAATTGCATGGTGTGGGGATGAGGGAGCAAAGCAAACAAAAAAGAAAAAATAAAAGAAACAAAGCAAAACAACTACCAAAAAAAAAACAAACAAAAAAAAAAACAACCAAACACCCTCAGATCAAGAAAACCTACAGCTTCCAGCCAAAAACACTAGTTAAGGGTTTAGAACACAAGATAGCTTGCATTGAATCTTCAAATTCCACTGTTACTCAAAATGACAAGATGAAAATTGATGGACAGAGCAGAGAAAACTTGCAAGTTTTTTTCCAAGTTTTATGGAAATTCCCTACCTGACCTTATTTTGTTGGGAAATGCAGTAAGCAAAGAGATTCTAGTAATCTAGGTGTCCAGAGTCCCTAATTCGGATTGCAATATTTAAACACAATCTAGTGTCACGTCTATGTGTTACTTTCAAAATTTATTTTTAAAAAAGCACCTGATAATTGCAAAAGTCATGTCACAAACATAAAAATGCCCCCAGAGAACTCCACAAAAAAAATTCCAGAGAAGTGACTAATGCATCTACAAGTGTTTTCTTGCTTGGCAGTCACTTTTCCAAGTTTGACGCATATTTATCAGAAGAGCATGTTCCACTTGTAGAAAACTCTCATTTTGATATTTTATTTTTAGTTGCCCATTAAAATGCCAAAGACACTGGGCATACATAGATAAACAACATCAATTCAGAACGAGACTCATCAGATCCACAGATCAACTTGTCATCAGCATGTAAAGAGGCACCTTCTCACAGAGCTCGAGCCTGGACACAATTTCCCTCTTCTGAGTGCAAACTGTACCAACCTCTATGTGATACACACAGACCCAAGGAACTTTGCAGATTTTCATTTTTTGTGATATAATACATTTCTAAGTTGCTAATTACAACTGCTGTTCACTCCGACATATTGGGAAATATATCTCATGCTTCTCACTCTTGAAAGACAAAATCCTTTCCTCAACTATTTATTTAAAGGTTTTTCTTATTTTTCATTACTCTTTATTTGAAACCCCACCCCTGGACACAGAATAACTGTAGAGTGGAGCTCTAACTCTACTAAACTGGAGCTCTATATCCATCATATTACAGTGGAGTAATATTTGAATGAAGTGTTAAAGGAAAAGGTAGAAGTTTCTGTAAACAAGATGGAAAAAATATTTTACCACCATTTGCTCACAGAAGAATAATTAATGTTAATAACACTTACCGAACTAATATTCTGTTGATTTTTCTTTACTCTTTCAATCTCTGGAGTCTCTTTTACAGCTGTGCCAGCTCCTACTTCCTTCTTATAAAATACCTTCATTTCCCCAAAAGAAAAAGTAATTATGAGACTGTTAGCAATGCAAATACAAGTACTCACAAAACGGCTGGGCAATTTTCCATGCCCCAAATTGGTCTGACTATAAATCTTCAAAGAAAGCAAATAATTTAATTTTTCATAAATGAGACCAATAATCAATAAGGATAATAATATTCTGTTTGTTTTGAACTGGAACCCAGATAATCTATTATCATCTTTTAGACTGATCCCAAGTATTTGTAAGTATTTGTAATGATAGTTTTAAGTTTGAAAAGAATATAAAAATTTAGATCATAATCTATAATACTTTACAAATGCAGCTTTATGTTTGCGTAATCTCATTCATTTCAATGTAACTGAACATGTATGTACATGCAAGATTTGAACTGTTGGTTTAATCTTCAGATCTTAAAACACTCTGAGAAGTAAACATACATTATTATTCCTAATTTAACAAACTAGAAAACAGACATATTCGTGACAAAATAACCACAACAGCCAAATCTATAGTCCAAGTCATGCAATTTTTGACTTCTGGATTCAAGCCAGAAAGCTGAGGACTGCATCTAAAAACAAGGTTCACTTCTGAAAAGATACACATGCTGTTTAGATCGTTCTCCTCTCTATTTCAATTGTTTCAGTAAAGGATAAGAAACAAAATGCATCAGTAAAATCAATCATTCAAAATTACTGAAAGAGACAGTAAGTAACTGCTCCACAAATTCCAAATGTGGCTATAATTTAAATAACCGGTTCATGCTGCAAAACTCCTAAAGAAGTTTTATTTGAATTTCAGTATTTGGTGTCACAGCTGTTGCCACTCCAGTAAGTATTTCCAGGCTGGTAGTGTAAAAACAAGTCTGATCCTGGAGTTCGTAAAATAAATCTTTATCATTTAGTACTTCTGCCTTTCTGAAACCAAGATTTATTTACCCTTTTTTTTTTCTATCAATGAACCTTAAGCAATAAAGCATCATTCTTGATGCATTTCTCCTACTTCCCTGAAGTCCTCTGTAACCTAGAGTGACTAGTACTGCCAAATATTCTAGAGGATAGTGGATTATTTATGTCCACAACTCATTCTTAAATTTTCAGAAAACCTTTAACAATTTAGAATTTTGTTTTATCATGTGAGAATAGAGACAGTAAGAACTTGAAAATTCTTCTGCACCAACATGTCAGTACAAGGAGGAAAGATTTACATAGTGGACTGAACTAAAATATGCTTAAGGAGGGTGTGGTAAAAAATGTTGGAGACAGGAATTTTTCTATGAAAGAGATGACTGCAGAGTAAATATCCTATTGTAAATCATCTGCCTAATGAGTTAGTGAGCTAAGAGCAGCACTGATCTTATCTGGAGAGACAGTCACTTTTTTTGACCCTTAAGGCGGAAAAACACTTGAGACAAAATCCAAAAATCCAAAGCCTATTAAGGGACATTAATTATTTTATATTGGGGCTGCTCCCAGTTATAACTTAGCTTAGTAAGAAGTAATTTATCTTTACAATCTAAATTGCACAGAATGCTGAAAAATTAAAACATAGATTAAAAAAATGATAATTCAATCGCAGCTATAAACTGCTTTCCCACATTTGGAGGATCCAGCTCAAAAAAAAGGTGATCATAAAGCAATTGCAAATCACCTCAAAGACAAAACATTTTTATTTCATATTGTTTAGTATACTAACAATGAGGGTAATTGTCATCCTTGGCACTGAAAGCTCAGACTGACCTACACAGCTGCAAGTTGCTCAGATGTGTCAAAGGCTTGTCAAGGCTTAATTAAGTAGTGGAAGGTTATTATATGCCTGGTGTCAGTGAGTCTGCACTGCCAGACACGCTGGCTCATCTGAGGACTTCATCAAAAGCTATCAAAGACTGGAGCACGGAGGAAAGCAGATCAGTAGATCTGCTAGCTTGGATCCGCCTCTGCTACACAGAGTTTCAGCATTTTAGGATGCCAGTGATATGAGATACAGTAATAATCACCATCACATTGTACAGCAGAGCACCATTCAAAACCAAGAGGCAACAGATTACAAGAAACAAAAGTGGAGCCAGTGGGCCTGTCAACAGCTCCTATTAAAAAGATGGAGGTTTCAACTGCTCTCATGTGGAGGAAGAAAAGGAGCAGGTAAGGCTGGAAGACTTTATGACAGAGACCACTACCTAGAGCAACCTCAAAGACTTTTCTTCTCTCCCTGCGGGTTCTTACTTCCCTAGTGAAGCTGCAGTGACGTAGGATAGCTGCAAGTAAACACCTCTGAAAGAAACTAATTGACCTTCTACTCCTGCAGAGCTGGAGAAGCTGAGAATACTTCTAAGCTAAAGAACAACATCTGTGTCAGATAATACAAAAATATAAGTAAATTATATTCCTTTCAAATAATTTGCTTTATGAGCATTACTTATTCTGCCATAAAAACCAGACACTAACTGGACAGCCTTTGGTTCCAGAGGCTATATTTACTCCTCTTCTCTGTTATATTACAAGCAAAGCCAGAATTACAAGCAGCAGAATTAATGGGTCCAAAAAGGAAGTGGAACTGAATGCATCCCAAACTGGGCAATTTTAGAGAACCAAGCTCATAATTTATATTTAGGGATAATCTGAAACTTAAATCTAGCATAAAATTAAAACAATATATCCAGTATAACATAAAATCATTAGACATAAATATTTATGAAACTTGATCTGTTCCAATTTTATGTTCTGTACATATGATAGGAAACAGATGAAAAATCTTACATGCACAGTAACAAGCCTTACAAAATTTTTGTCCTTTTAAATAAAGCACTTCCTGGGGCTCGATGGAAAAAGAAAAAAAATCTTCATTTAAAAATAACTGTGGCTTGGCAAGGTGGTGTAAGTGGTTTAGCAATTCAAAATAACACCTAGAAAAACTGGGCATTTTTTTTTTTACTGAAAGAAATGAGTGATACAGCTTTTGCCAGGAAAATTATGCAAATAGTTCAAAGGATTTTTACTCATAAGTTCCCTATTTCATGCTGCAGCACAGGAGAGCCTATTTAAACTGAAAAATATCTGAAAAGTTGCAAGCAAAGAGAGAAGCACTATTACTCACTGAGCTGATGTTTTTCTGAGTACTTTTTATCCTCTCCATTTCTGGAGTGTCTGGGACAGTAGAATAATTACACAGCATCTTCTCTGCTTCATCTTTGTACATTTTCTGAAAAATAAATTTAAAATGTCTATTTTCTGCTTTCTTGGAGGCTTTCAGAACAACCAAACTGCAACAAAACATGCTTATAGCTGATGACCCTCAACATCCTCGTACAGTATTTATTTCAACCTCCCTCTCCTCCATGATGCTGTTATTCACACACAGTATGCTAGAGATTGGGAGGGACCTCAAAAGATCATCTAGTCCAAGCCCCCTGCCAGAGCAGGAGCACCTAGATAAGGTTACACAGGAATGTGTCCAGGCGGGTTTTGAATGTCTCCAGGGAAGGAGACTCCACAACCTCCCTGGGCAGCCTGTTCCAGTGTTCCGTCACCCTCACTGAGAAGTTGTTTCTTCTCAAGTTTAAGTGGAACCTCTTGTGTTCCAGTTTGTACCCATTACCCCTTGTCCTATCATTGTTTGCCACTGAGTAGAGCCTGGCTCCATCCTCGTGACACTCCCCCTTTATATATTTATAGACACTAATAAGCTCACCCCTCAGTCTCCTCTTCTCCAAACTATAGAGACCCAGCTCCCTCAGTCTTTCCTCATAAGGGAGATGCTCCACTCCCTTAATCATCTTTGTTGCCCTGCGCTGGACTCTCTCCAGCAGCTCCCTGTCCTTCTTGAACTGAGGGGCCCAGAACTGGACACAATATTCCAGATGCGGTCTCACCAGGGCAGAGTAGAGGGGAAGGAGGACCTCTCTCGACCTACTAACCACCGCCCTTCTAATACACCCCAGGATGCCATTGGCCTTCTTGGCCACAAGGGCACAGTGTTGGCTCATGGTCATCCTGTCGTCCACTAGGACCCCCAGGTCCCTCTCCCCTATTGTTTGTGTGGGACAGCTGACACTGTGTCCCACACTGATATATTCTCATATGTGTAATATCTTTTCCCTTCACTGTCAGGGTATATCTATAACCTTATTTAGGTAATGCAAAAAGACCTATAAATAGACGTAAACAAATACAATTTACATGGCATGACAGGCCTAAATACAAACAAGAATCAGGCAGTAAGATGTTTTACTACATGTAAATTAATTTAATATAAGTACAAAAGCCTCTACAGAGCTAGAGAAGAGGTACTTTGAGAAATGTCTGTCAAGCACTCATTGGTCACACAGAATTAAAACATTCAGTCTTTGAAGTATGCCTACCTGGCTTGCTATTTCTGAAGCCCTTTTGACCCGTTGTATTTCAGGAGTATATGGGCCAATTTGCATTCCTTTTCCTACAATTTCAGTCTCCAGATCCTTTTTATATTCTTTCTGAAGAAAAAAGAAAAAGAAAAAAAATCAAAACAACTGTAACTAATTCTACAGTTATTTGTACGTCTTCAATGTCTTCAAAGCTATTTTGAGAGCACTGTTCAGACTTTAAATAAATTCTTCAATTTCTTTAATTTAATGTTTCCATTGTGCATAGCTTATTCCTTTTAGCCCAAGTATGTTCAGAAGATTTTATGGTTTTAAACATCTCGTTATGTTTTACTTCCAAAGTAATCTTAAAGAGATTAATTTTGTACTCACCTGGCTTACTATTTCAGAAGCTTTTTTGGCTCGTTGTATATCAGGAGTATCCGTGCCCACTCCCATTCCCTTTCCTTTAATTTCATTTTCCAAGTCTTTCTTGTATTCTTTCTGAAAAGAACAGCATTGTAAATATGTCAGACAGCCAAATTCTTAAATTGTTCCAACTTTAATCTGTGTAATTCCACTGAACAGCATTCTTAAAAGACCAAATACTTCTGATTCAACAGCACTAGCTCTGTAGGATCTATCTATGAGACACCTATGCTGTGGCTGCTGACCAGTTAAAAAGATATTTTAATAGACTTCTTCAAATCTGATATAGCCTTTCACATCTACCTGTCTTTGCAGCTTTTGCAGCTGCAACCACAGACATACATAAACGAGACTTTCTCCCTCAGCTGTGCTTTGCAGTACTGGGGTCATAAGGCTTTGTTATCTCTCCCATTCTGTTTCTTGTTTGGTCCTAACCAAACAAGCAACTCTTTAGACCTAAAAGCAGTAGGGCCCACAGCTACTGAATACACCCCAGGCCAAGCATGGTTTGTGAGAAACAAGCACAACCTGCAAAAAAAATGACAGAAAGGCCAGAGTTTTGGGAAATCTTAATTTTTCCCGTATGCTGATTATGCAACTTTTTTTTATAGTGTCAGCTGTGTTCCAGTACATAGCTGAACAGGTTAGGTATTTGGTGAAATTTGTAGTATTGCTACTGCCTAGATTGGTCATCACTTGGAATTCTCAATGACAATAATTTGTTGCATTCTATCAAATGGAAAGCTTGAACCAGGTATGGTACTGACCATGCTTGCAATTTCAGAAGCTTTCTTGGCTCGTCTTATCTCAGGAGTATCTGGACCAACATCCATGCCCTTCCCTTTAATTTCTGTTTCCAGGTCTTTCTTGTATTGTTTCTGTAAAGGCAAAACTTCATACATTATACTCACAGTAGCCAGAGAGTTACAGGTAGATTTTTGCACAAGACCCAATTTTAAGATTTAGAGCCAATCAAAAATCTTGAGAGTCATAACTCTCAAGACTCTTGGCAATCTTTTGTCAGGAAAACACAACCAACTACAGGAGGAAAACTTTAGGAGATAGTCACTGAGCGTACAAAACTCTACCACTGAGTTTTTAATTAGTGGAGGGGGGAAAAGGGAGAAATCAGTCTATACAGCTTGCTACAATTATCCTCTAAAGTAAAATGGAAGTTTAGCTCTGCAGAACATAGTGTAATAAACTGGAACTTGGTGTCAGCCTAATTGAAACACATTTTACTTTTAAGAAAATATTTTACTTATGAAAGGACTACATGTTAGAAATTTAATACCATACTGAATTGTTTCCAGTGAACTTTCAGAGCAGGAAGTTGTAATTTATTCATTTAATAGGTCTTTCCTGAACTACAGCCATTAGGCAAGTGGCAGTACTCATCCATGATTGCTGCTTTTTCCTCACAACATAAATTATAAATAACCAATAATCAGGAAACAAAATGAATATTTCATCTCCATCTTATCCATGCAAGGATATATTTCTTGTTCATCAGCAAACTATATTAAAATGTAATACAGAAATACTGTGTACAATAGTTGCAATTTTTTTTCAATAAAAAATTAATAGCTTCTCAGGCAGTTCTTTTTCTGTTACTATAGTAGTAATCACTCTTTTTCTGTTCTAGTTTACCTCTGCCTGTGGAAAACAAGGGTGTTTTTTTCCAAAATAGATACACATAACTAAAAAAGTTCTTCTTACTTTTCTTGTTAATTATTTTTCAGGTTTACATTAGTTAGAAAAAGAAGTAAAATATCTTTCTTCTCAATGCAATGGTCTGGTCACTTACAAGAACAAGAACAAAAAGACTTTCAATCTTCCATTGCTATCTCACTCTGATGTGGAAATAAACACAGCAAAACCATTCTCTACTTTGCAAACCACAGTTTTTTGCAAGTATAAGTTAACCTGTGAGAAGACATCACCCATCACTTCCCCTCTGCTAAAGGTGGAATGGCAGATATTTCTTCCCAGCTGTTTGCCTAAAACAGCAAGGAAAAGATAATCCTGGGAGTTGCATTTCTTTACAGTGATAAAATTGGCCCTATGCATGACATTCCCTCTGGTTCTTATAGCTCAAGAAAATCCATTTCTTCAGGAGCAACTCTACTTTTCACAAGTAGAACAGTTTGTTTGCATAAAAGATCTTCCCAAGATGCCTGGCAGTTATTACCAAAATTTATTTGCCGATAGGAGGTACGTGATTCCAAAAACCTCAAAATTATTTCACTGACTTTTCTTTACAAGTCCACTAACAGTCAACTCTTTTTCCCTTAAAATATTAACAATACTATCTTATTAACAAGTAAATAGATGGAAAAATGAACCTAGTTTTAAATACTCTATTGACCCCAATATTTCCATTGACCTTTTAATTGCCTGAAAATCTGAAATTTTTGTTTTGTTTTTTTTCCCCCACAACTTTACTATATTCTTAAAGCAAAACAGAAGGAGTTCTAGTATCAACACGTACTTATTTTACTGTAGATTATGTAAAAAAAAAAAAAAAGAATATTTTCAGTCAAGTATTACATAAAGAGTGAACATTCTGTGACATCAATAAAGTTGACTAGCATAACATACCTCATTTAGTATCTGAGCTGCATTTTTCACTCTAATCAAATCTGGTGTATCTTCAAACACTGTCATTCCTTTTCCTTTCATTCCTTCTTCCAAATCTTTTCTGTACTCTTTCTAAGAAAAACAGAGATTTCTCCACTTACAATTGTGCACAAGATCTTGACAAGAAATGCCACTTATTAAGTGTCTCAAGGGTCTCTTCGAAATTTCTATGAAATATGAATTAGCAGAAGTACATTCTCCAGAGTTAAAACAGAATTGAAAATTATGAAATGTAAGGGTACAATGTTGAAGAAGTGAAAAGGTTTTAATGTCACCACATTTTTTCCTGTTACGGTCTTGAAAAATAGTGTTCTCCTATACAGTGCTAGCACATTGCTTAGGGACCTCAGCTGCCTCTCTATGGACATTTTAACTGCAATAGCATTTGCTTCTACAGACTAATATATGCTGCATAATATATGCAGTTTTTACCTCTGTTCCACTAATGGTATCACAACCAGGACGGATAGCCTGAACACTATACTAGGACCTGTTAAAACCACTACTTGATAAACTGTAATATAGATGCAGAATTCTCTACAGTGGAAAAGCAACAGAATAAGCTGGAACACAGCTGACACTATAAACAAAAAATAAAAAAAATCATTTTTAAGAACTCCAGGTTCACCTTCTTTGCTTCATGTAATACCTAAGTTTGATTATAAAGCTTCACACAAAATACTATGCTACATCTTTGACTATGAAGAAATACATCATTTTGCTGAATCTTGAAAGAATAATTAAACCTATGTAATCTTTGGGTTTGTTTTTCCTTGAATGTGAATATAAACTCATATGCAATTCATGCAGTTACGCATTAAAATACCATTTCCATTTTCTCATATTCTTCCCCTCTGGCTTACAAGCATAGTTTAGTCTCTAAGTAATAAGTCATAAAACTTGTGGAGCTAAGAATTAGGAAACATCTTAATGCATGTAGCACTATGGAGGGAAAATACATCAAAATTTTCAAAGATGAACATCTACAACTATGCTTGCACTTACCACTTCTGCGCACATTCAGCATGCAGCAAGATCAACTCAATTAAAAGCAAGTATTTGCATTTTCCTTATTCAGTAAGCATACAAGTCATGTACGTGCAGAACAGTACTGCACAAACCATACCCAGCTAGAGAATTGTCTACCTGGCAGCCTAGCATGAAACCAGTTCTAGCATGAAAACCGTTCTGATTTATATAAAACTATTAAAGTTTGAAGGATTCTCAGTTATGGAAAAAAAGTGGTTTAATTTATAATGCCACACACAACTGAAGAACAGTGGGCAAATTTCAAAGAAACAGGCATTACAGAAAAACTGCACCTCCTAATAAAATTTTCTTAAAGCAAATTATGTAATAAAACAGCTATATTAGGGAATTTTGATCTCCTTTATTTTCACCCATAACATGTATGATAGATAATAGTTTCAATTAAATTAGTTAAAAGCAACTATATACAGCTCAAGGCATCTATATAACCAGAACAGACTATCATAAACCTGAAATAATTACTCAAAAGGAAAAACTGCTATCTGGACATGAACAGAAACCCTCTTTTCCACTCCTTCATCTATCTGGAAAGAAAATTTCAGGCCCTCTCCAAAACTGTATCAAGCAGATGTCTTATGTAGCATGCCTGGAAGGTCACCAAATCTGGGCTATTTGAGCCTGAGGGAGGAATAAATTCCAAAACTGAAGCCCTCAGAGGGAATTTTCTGAAAACACTCAGTTTTCTATGGAGTCATCTGATTTGCTCATTTAACTCTGTTTTTCTGGTTCAGGTGTACTAGGCTTTATCATTTCCTTATGCTTATATGGAAATCTCAAGAAGTATTGATTCTTACTACAGGACTAATCAGAATATAAAACGACATGCAGCGATTTTTATTCATGAAGTCACTTTTGTATTTAGCTACCAAGTTAACTGTGAGTTTTCAGCACTCAGTAGCTTGTAGTGATGCCGCAACTTAACAACAACAAAAAAAGGAATAAAAATCCTCTACCTCTTTCAGAAAGTTAGTGACTTGTTTTATATGCAAGAACTCTGGGGTCTTGTCTAAATCCATTGAGGGTTTTCCCTTGATCTCTTCTTCAAAATCTTTGCGATACATTTTCTATTGAAGCAAAAACAACAATTAGTGGTAGACATATGTGCATTTCTAAGCATATTTCAGAAAGAACACTGCAAACAGACACAGAAATGAGTCTTGCCATAAATTATCACATTAATAAGCAACTTTATAACTCATTTCATTACTTAGATTATCTTTACAAGACACAAAATTTAGACAAAAATACATATGTATAAAATTTCCGAAGAGAATATTTAACATTATGTATGAAAGAAACGCTTTGGTTCATAGAGAAAAGAGAAGACAAATGGCACACAAAGTAATGGTTTAAACACCGAAAAGTTTCTACCAAGAGGATGAAATCATCCATTTTTCATGAGACACAGCAAAAAGAATTGAATCAAACTGCAGCAAAACAGACACAGGAAAATGCTCCTTTAGGATGGATGGTGAAGCACTGGATTAGAATGCCTGGGAGGTCACAAAACTTCCATTATTTGAAGTTTCTATTAAAAAGTTAGAAAAAAATGGCCTGACACAGAACAGCCAGTCCTGTTGTGCAGCCTGGGCACAGTTGTTCCCCCTTGCTGAGTTCCCTAGGGTGAACAGACAGGAGCACATTTCAGTTAAGGTGTGGGGTCAGACTGGCCTGTATGGCTTCGCTCGCTCCCATCTAAAAAAATCTCCCTCGTTAAAGACAGAATTAAAGGCAGAAGGTAAAAAAGTTAGCAATCTCTGATCTACACAACCTTTTGAGCTTCCACTTAACTAAATTATGCTACTTACAATTTGCATCTAGTTCTAGAAACAATGGGGCTTTTTGAGAAAAAATGTATTTGAAGAACTGAGCTACAGAATAAGAAAACTATTCAGTACTAATTCTACCATGTCCCCAATTTATGAAACCTTTACCATCTGCTTCACCTGTTTTCTTAACCTGAGAACAAGATGTCTGTTAGCTTCTCTGTTGATCTAAATTTTACCAGTTCAAGCACACATTTTTACTAACCTCACTTTGCATCTTTTGAGCTTCCTTTGAAACTTGATACATTGGTGTATCCACAAACTCCAGCATTGATCTGCCTTTAGATTTTTCATAATTCTCTTTGTACTTGACCTAGGAAAATGAAAATAAATGGTGTTAACAGCTGAGAGAATGTGAGATCTGACTGCATGCTGTGGTGGCAGACAGTCTTAGCCATACCGCTTAGAGGTTTTGAGTTGGAAGACTCCTCCCCAGCTTAACCTGCTGGAGAAATAGACAAGGAAACTTTTTCTGGAGTCATTTATTCCTTTGCTTAAAAATATCAGACCTAAAAATGGTAAACATTGAAGACAGTATGGGTGAGGAGCATCAATCACAATCCTGAAACTAATTGTATGATTTTGGCTGAATGACCTCTATCTAGACAGTTGGCAGCTTTTTAATAGGTTCCCCTGTCATGTTTCCATTAAACACCACATTTACTGTAACAACAACAAAATCTGTTTCACAGCCACAGCCCAGAGGTCTCTCTTTCACCCTCAGGAGCATCACTCTGAAATGCACTTTTATTTGTACCTGTGGGAGGGAAAAAGGAACGAATGCCTTCATAGGGTGCAGTCTTGCACCAATATTCCCCTCCCAGCTGCCAATGACCATGATATTAAAGCTAGTAGCAAAATCCCATTGAAGAACACAGGGCTATTACACCCACATGCAATTTTATGCTAACGCACAAAGCAAATACACTTTGTTTGGAAACCTGCAGAATTCTGAATTCATTCATTCACTCTCTTTTGACTAAGATTGGCAAACCTCAAATTAATCAGTGCAGTGTATGACAGAATATTCTACACAAGCCATAAAGGAAAGCAAATATCTACAAATCAAAATATGATATTCAGAATGAATAATATTTTAATTTATTTGTCTCTACAAAAATAGTGATGTCTGTATTTGAGTACAGTGATCAGACTCTCTTTCCTAGTCAGGCTTCTACACTAGGTTTTGGTCCTGGAAAAACAAGCTCCCCTTCCTTACGGTGCTTCTGATTGAATATGCACTGTACATCACTGTAATCTGTCATGCATGTTTGTGCCTGATTTAATCACTGTTAGAATGCTGCATTTTTATCTTTGCAACTGTCCTGGTTCAGCAGCAGGACTGCTGCTGCTGAACCCAGGACAGCAACATGTATTTATGCTTGTGTATACCTGCCTGAAGCACTGCAATTTCTTTGTGATTGATTTGCTTGGTTGTATCCAGGGTGAAATCATAAAAGCCCTTGCTTTGCTTAAATGATTACTTATATTCATACTGGAAAAAACCTATCCAAGAATGTTTTCACAAACAAAATCCAAAAGGTTTTGCAATTTAAACACCATTTTAAATAACTATGGGAGAAACAGCATAAAAGAAACTGTATTTTAGGCCTCAAGATCTACTGCTAAATTTGAAATTAAAATATTGTGAGGAAATGAAAAAAGGGTATGGTAAAAAAAAAAGCAACATAAAACTCTCATCAGTTCCTAGAGAAAATGCCTGTCTTTCCCATCCAAAGCCAAATGTTTATGTCCGCAAGAAAACAAACATCATTATTTACATTTGAAGTGCAAAGGAACACATATGATGGTCTGGGTTTGCCTCCTAGTGGAAGTCATTCTAAATGTCGCACACCAAAATCACTTCTGTGGAAGCAAACAAAAATAATCTCCATCTACAGATTCTGATTTCATACTTTTACTCCCTTTTACTCCATTCCCCAACTAATGGAATAAAATTAGAGAAAAAAACCCTATAAAATCAAATGAGGAAAATCACATAATCTTTTGCTACACTAAACCACAGGCACCAGATCCAGTCTCTTATGTCCTGTTCATTCACCCTGTTCCATAAAATGAAACACAAAACACATCTGTGTACCTTTTTTTTTTTTTTTATCCTGAGTTCATAAGCATCTCAAAGTCTTTACAATAGGGACAGATTAAAAATGTGCCAAACAATAAACTTGCTGTCATACACATATCAAAGTTTTAAATTTTGTGTCTCCACCATTCATGCCAAAGAGAATGAATTACATGTATACCTGCTGTAGTTTAACCCCAACTGGCAACTAAGCACCACACTCCCTCCCTCCCCGTGGAATAGGGGAGAGAATAAGAAGCTTAAAAGAAAACTTGTAGGTTGAGATAAGATCAAGAAAAGAAAGGGAAAGGGAAGGAGAAAGGGAAAGGGAAAGGGAAAGGGAAAGGGAAAGGGAAAGGGAAAGGGAAAGGGAAAGGGAAAGGGAAAGGGAAAGGGAAAGGGAAAGGGAAAGGAAAGGAAAGGAAAGGAAAGGAAAGGAAAGGAAAGGAAAGGAAAGGAAAGGAAAGGAAAGGAAAGGAAAGGAAAGGAAAGGAAAGGAAAGGAAAGGAAAGGAAAGGAAAGGAAAGGAAAGGAAAGGAAAGGAAAGGAAAGGAAAGGAAACAACAAAAACAGATATATTAAACCCAAGCGAAGGAAATGAAAAGCAACTGCTCACCACCAACAATCCAGCTTGTTCTCAAGAAGGATCCCCCCATCCAGCTCTCCCCCTAGTTTATATGCTGAGCATGACATCATATGGTATGGAATATCCCTTGGGTCAGTGGGGGTCAGCTGTTCTGGCCGTGTCCCTCCCAGCTTCATGTGCACCCCCAGCCTGCTCGCTGGCAGGGCAACATAAGAAGCTGAACAGTCCCTGACTTAATGTAAGCACTGCTCATCAACAACCAAAATATCAGTGCGTTATCAACATTGTTCTCAACCTAAATCTAACACACAGCACTACCTCAGCTACTAGAAAGAAAATTAACTCTATCCCAGACGAAACAGGGATAATACCATATGAGGGGAAAGCTCCAGGTTGTGAACTCTCTCCCTCATCAAAAAAATGAAAACAGGATAAGTTCTATCTGTCAAAATCAGTCTGTGTGTGTCCAAACATGCCCATCAAGCTCTCCTCGTAACCGCTGGAATTTATTCTGATGGAAGCTGACGTGTATAACAGCTCTGCATTCCTGTTAGACATGTATACTATTTACATAGAGTATATGTGTTTCATAAAGTTGCACACACTTCTACACTGTAGGTCAATCAGCAAACCAATTAAATCAACCTTATTAGTTTATGGTTTAATTAACCATACAGTCCAACATGTCACACCAGAGCAGGCATAGCTTTGTTATGCAAAAGATGAAGAGAAGTATAAAGTTCAAGGGACAAAGGTATAGTAAGGGAAACAGCTAAATTGGGCAATTAGCTCTGTGTTTCAGAGGACTAAAAAAAAATAGCCCATATGATCAGACTTTGGAAATCAGTTAACAGCACAATCAAAAAGGTTGTTTCCTACAGTGGAAGCAGACTACAAGAAAGATTTGGTATGAGCTGTGGAGAGACAAGGAGGACACAAGGAAGGCATTGGAAAAGCACGAAGAAAGGCAGGAGAGTAGGCCAAGTTAAAAATCAAAGAGAGTACATGGGGGGGTCAAATCTAAAAAGGATTTTGAAAACAGGATTTGTGTAGAAGACAAGTAGCTAGTGGAGACCTTAGGGATTGGCAAAGCATTCTTCTTCCTGCTTGCAGCAAGAAAAAATATCCACCAGCATCTGGACAATGCAAAAATCAGAACCTCAGTATTTCGAGTCCTCAGAAGAAGGCATAGACAATATGAATCAACCCTTCCTGAGCAACAGAAAGAAATAAATTTTGCAAGAAGTGAGCTGCCTTAAGGGAAGTCCAGGTTTCTATCTCATTAGAGATAAGATAGCAAAATACTGAAGCTCATTCCGTGGGTCTTCATTTAATTAGCAAAAAGAATGCCAACCTTACTTTACATTGAAAGAAACTAGAATTAGGCCAAAATGTCATGAAGAACGCAGGAAGGAAAGCTATCAATTCATTACCCATAAAAAAAGGGATAGTCAGTGTTAGCTTCACAAATTGGAAACAGTCAAAAAGCAAGCTTCAAATCATGAAAAAGTAATACAAACAATCAAGCACAGATGGGAAGGCTGGATTATTTTGATTATTTTAGGCATAACCTTCACAAGCAGGCACTGACTCAGAGAAGACAACCCAGTATGATCCTAGCCATTAGGGCTAACTCTTTGTGTGTGAAACATTCACCTCCTGCAGACTGCGAGCAGTCTTCCTTCCCAACACCACCCACTCACGCCTTTCCACGGCAGTTTTGCGTCCCTCCTGTGGTTTCTGGAGTAAAGACAACAAGTGCAGCTAACCAGCCTACACACATGTAGTAGAAATATTTTGGGAACGGGAGAGAAGCTTCAGCATAACACAGAAGCCAGGGGTTTCCCATCTCTTCCTCCCCATTTCAATCCCCATCACTACTCCATGTCAGACCACCAGCCCCACCAAGGGGCATGTTTGTTATGGGGCAGAATGGAGTGTGTGCCTATTTCCTGATCCAGTGCAGGACACCTCAGACATTTAGGAGTAGGAAAAAGGTTTAGACAGAGAAGGTTGAAAGGAAGCTAGCACTCAAGAGGCTGTTTATGGCAGAAGTCAAATTAAACTAGCATAATGGTCACTTTTGTACAGAGACTTGCAGATGAAAGCAATAAGTAAAATCTTAGGCAAAATGAGATTCACAAGGAAAAAAGTATCTTATCAAAGTAAGAAGTGGACAAAGTTTCACAAGAAATGCTCAAGTACCAGAAGGCTGCGTGATTCTTATCCAGTATATTAGTTCTAATAACTGAAATATCTCTTCCTAAAAGCCCTTTTTCCTTCACTACATCCCCCAACTACTATGGTTATAATGCTACGTTCTACTGGCTATGAAACTGTGAAGAAAGTAACAAATATTTATGTATCCTAAAAAGAGTATACATACTACATTCCTTACCAAATATATTTTTCAGATCATTTTTATAAAGGCAACTTACATTGCTATGAGTTTTGCTGATATTTAAAGCATGGTTTAAATATAGCAGGTTTGGCAGATCAGAAGCTGGATCATGTAGGTTTTCCAAATCTTTCTTGTAATTCACCTGGAAAAAGAATTTAAGTTATGTAAAACAAAGTTTAACAAAATAATTCACAGCTTCATATTACCATGTGGCCGTTCGGAAAGAGAGAGCATTAAGTGCTTGCCTGAACAATCTCTACCAACCACTAGATGGTGGTCATTTACTATTATTTGGAGGATAGGAAACAATAAAAGATTCCTTCTGCTGAGCAAGTATTTGGGAACTACTCAAACTTTTCCTCAAAAAATGATATTTACAACAAAATCGTGATTTCTATGACTTTTCAGACTGTTGATTCTTGTTCTTTTTCTCTTGATTCAGGAATGAAACTAACTGTCCAAATAAAAAAAAGTTCTATATAAATCAGTTAAAGAGAAGAGCTCCTGTAAATTTTATTTAATACAGATTGCTTTCAGTAAAGATATACAGTCACCTACAACAAAAGATGATCACTTAATGAAGTAGTAGAAAATAACTTCCTATCAGCCTACAGTAGGATTTACCATTCTTCTGAGAGCTGGATGTCCATCTTTACAGGAAGAAAACCAGCCAGCTTTACCTGTCTTAGATGACAAAACTTTAAACCAGTATCTTTAGTCACTTCCACACACATACCATGCTCTTCTCTGATTTAGACTTCAAATCATCAGCACTCAATTCGCATACCTCTTCTAATAGTTATTACTTCAATTAACTTTTTACTAAACAGTTAGATTTTTGAAACAATTACATATTGGGTAAGAGCCTTGCCAGAGCCAGGCTCTTCTGGGTGGTGTCCCACACTTTGGAAACGCCAAACTACAGAAGGCATGTCCCTTGGCTATCTGGGATCATGGCCTCAAAGAAGAGCTCATGTTTTTAGCATTAGAAACACTGTTAAATATATCAACTCAATAGCATTGTCACTCCATATAGATGCTCTCTCCAATTTGGCTTCAGCAGCAGGCACCCATTGCTGAATCTAGTGACTGGTGTACTTTGTAATACCATTCAGAGGATCAAACAGCAGAATGAAGTCTAAAAGACAGACACATAAATCTGAGCTGCACATACAGCATCCTTCCACAACCACTGGAGAAATGGCAGCACTTCGCTCCTTCTGGAATCTACAACAGGTCAGAAGAATTGCCCCTATATGTATTTTTCTTTCCCAAATACAAAGGGACCGCGTACAAGACGATTAGCTCATAGTAAGCAGTCATACCTTTTGAAATACGAAGTTAAGCAAGACGAATCTCATCTAAAATCATTATGAAAAACTCTCCAGGCCTCTGGCAAAGGGCTTTGTCAGAGGCAGAGGAAGAAATGTGTAACATGCTGTACCTGCTAGATAGACACACTGTATAGCAGAGGTTGCAGCCCAGAGTAATTCGTAATATGGAAAAAGAAATTCTGTTTGAGAAAAAATATTAGGCTTTCACTATGTAAATGCATATAAAATACAAAGCAAATTCACTTACATCACTTGCCAAGGTGGATGCAATCTGTGCTTGCTTGAAGGAAACACTGTCAAGAGGATTGTACTGATGGCTCTTCATTTCCTTACTGAACTGCTCTTTGTATTTCACCTTTCACCAGAACAAACATATCTAATATTAACATGTAGCATTTAAAGAAGGCACAGAGAATTCAGACTACAAAGGAGCTTATTTAAGGCAAAAGCCTTATCCATAAATCTTTAAAGAGTCAAGATGTTTAAAGAAGCCCAGTTTAGCCACACCTGTGACTCTCTCATGCTGGTTTCAAAGTAATTTTTCTGTATCTGAATTTTACTAAAATAAAAAAATAAATTTTAGTTTGTCATATGCGATTACTGGTGCTGAAGCATTTATAAAAAGGAAACAGAAACAAAAACCATACGACTCACCTGAGTAATCAAATAAACCAGAACTGTTTGACTAGCAATAATAATCTACTGAGAATCATTCAATTCATAGTTAACATAATAAATGTGGTTTTAAAGAAAAAAAAATAAGATTAATAAATTATAAATCTGGTAAAATAAATCACTTGTACATTTTTCAACCACTCGAAAGAGGCATATCAGAATCAAACTTTCCACTCAGCCATCTTCCCGCCACCAGGTCCACATGTCACTCGCACTGAGTCAGGCTGTCACCAGAGCCCCCAGGTTTATTTGTAACTCTGACAGAAATTTCCCATGAGACCTCCAAGGAAACTCACTGCAGTACAGTCCCTTCTTGGGGACAATGCCCACCTCATTACAGTGTTAGAAAGCACAATTAAGTGACTGCCTGCCATCACTTTCACTCTCTTTTCTTCTTGTTCAAAAGAAAAAGAGGAAACTACAACACATGTAAGAGGAAATAAGCAATACATAAATGTTGACGAAATGACATTAAAAGTAAATAAATCACAAAAAATCCATACAACCTGCTGAAGAACTGAATTCAGAATCTGAATATATGAAATCAAACAAAGAGTAAATCTCCCTCCTTTGTCCTCCTTGTTGCGCATCATCATCAAACATCTGGGCACTTTGCACACATGACTTGCTTCTTTTCAACAGCTGGGCATCATGCAGGAGAATAAAACTCAGTCTGAATTACAGTGCTTTTATGAATATTAGTCAGACACCTGATATCTGAACCTATGCAATATCCGTTATAATTTACCACGCTCTGCATTAAATAAATACACAGCTTTTCCCTTACTCCTTTTTTCTCTATTCCCACACGCATGTCTGATAAAGTGGTTAAACCACCTCAAACAATCTCCTTTTCTTTTTTTTTTTTCTCAGCTTTAGTTGTGGGAAGAATTTTCTTTTTCCCTTTTAGTTCTTCTTTGCCTCAAAAGACTCTCAACGTGGTTTAGCTTACATAACGTCATCCTTAGCCACGATGCCCAATATTTCATTAATGAGGATAACAAGAAACTAACACCAGGCTACCCAGACAGACACTAAGTGTTTATATTCAAGAACCACATTATGATTCTAGCACTTATGTTAATTTTTCAAAGGAAGGAAATTCAAAAACGTTACTTTTAAAGAGAAACTTTACCTGAACGCATGATGAGCTCCATGAATCTTTCACGCTAACTGTAGAAAAGAATATCTATTGCCTTCTGGTAGATTCATCTGGTTCATATTGTTTGATATTTGCCTTGGCTTTGGATCAAGCGCAAAGGCATATATCTGAACATACAAAGACATTGCCTTTGTCAAAGGCAAATCGACATTCTATGCAAGCAGTAAAGGAATAAATCAGTAGGCTTTTCTCTTTTAAAATGTGTATCTAAATCTTGCCTTCTAATAAAAATCAGGTAGTGCTGGAACATGTGATTCAGAAAGTCTCTGAAACCAAAGATCAAGCTTAGCATGGTAAGCAAAATTATCTTTTACTGCTTGGGCATCAGCTCATATCATAATGACACCATGAACAAGAGTTTAAATATCCAGCTACTGCAGGCTGTATTCTGCCCAGCCAACAAATGCCCACAAACTGTGCATACAAGCTGAATGTACAAGGTGGTCCTTGATATTCTTTCTAAGTGTGAAAACATCAGTACTAAAGGGACCTCTCTTCACAACTGGCTTGCCATGTTCCAGCTGCAGCCATTTCATGCCATCTTTTGAAAGGTTATTTTAGCAATACATTTCAATCTAGAGATTTCAGTAATAAATCCTTAACAGTGTCATTTCAGATCACACTACTACTACTGAAGGAAAGAGGGGAGCCAGTAAACCCAGTCTTCAGAGGGCTGTGCCTCCTGATGTCGATGTACAGGAGGGTCCCAAATTTAAGGAGACTGACAACCAATCCAACTATAAATGCTCCTGTTGGATTGAGGGATGTCTTAGTACCTCTAGGCCCTAATGCCTCATCTGCCTGCTCTCCTTTTATTGACTTTGCTCTCCTCCCCAACACCATCACACATGTCACTCTGGTGCAAAATGGAGACCGCACAATAATATCAGATGACCCTGGCAGTATCTCAAGAGCACTTCCAGCAGTAATTTAACTCTGATGTGTCATAGGGGATTCATCACATTGAAAGTTACACACCCATTCACTTTCTCTTTTATCAGTATTTTCCTGTTTCTTTCTTCCTTTTGAAAGAAAGCGTGGGGTGGCAGAGGGCGAAGAGAGAAGAGCAAGCCCATGGATGAGTCACTGTGAAGTAACTCACACGCTATTTATCCTTCTTTTGAACAGACGAAAGTCATGAATGCAATTTAAAGGGGAAAAATAAGCCTGAGAGAAAGGCTTCTGATTAAAAACAAGGCAGAAAAATACTTCATTAGTGATTTCTAAAACATCCAAAAGAGGGAGGTCTTAGCAATGCTGTAACATGGCAGAAGAGCAAATAAAAAGCCAGAGTAGAAATGACATTTGTTAGTGGAAGTTCTCTACAAATTTCATCATTAACCAAAAGCTTTATTTTAATGAGAGTTTAAAAGATGGCTACTTAATTACCATCTTAATCAAAGTCTTAAGTTTGTTTATTTTTTTAGAGTATGTAGTAGGGATTAATTTAAAAGAAATGTGTGGAGGTTGCTCTCTAATTATTGCTGAAGGAAGAGCAAACTTCGCAGGCTTTTAACTCAACATCCCTTCAAAACCAAACTGGAATTAAATAAGGCATGGGTAAACAAACTTCTCATCGGCCTTGCACAAAACCGGTAAAAGTCAGAACTGCAGCTGGACAGAGCAGTGTCTTTTGAAGCTTTGCAGCAACATTCCTAAATCAATTCTGTAGTTCAAAGCTGTTCACACAGGGAGTGTTCAGTTTCAGAAGTGGATGACATCACCCACTGTTCAGATTTACAAAGAACCTACAAAAATTGAAGCATTCAACCACTGGGATCCCAGGATGAAGCAGACACTTGCAGCTAAAGCATTTCCTCACGAATATATGAAAACATATTAAAAATAAAAAAAAACAAAACAGAACAAAACTTGTCAGAGCAAACAGGTATTGAAGAAAATGTTACATCAACAATGAGCTAAATTAAAATATTGGGTTGCTAAAAGCACTAGCAGAGCTTAACACAAAGACAGACTAGGAAAATCCTAGGCTCTTTGTGTTGTTACTCATAATCTCAGAGAAGGTATATTTTGAAAAATATTCTACCTCTAACAATTTTATCCCTGAAACAATAAGCACCAGATCCAGCATGAAATACAAATACCCCAAAGTATTGATCGTAAAACCAATTATTGAACACCATAAGGAAAATACTTCATATCAGCAGCTCTTTGAAAAAGCTAATAAAATGCATCAGAAGACAAAAAAAAAGACATAAAAAAAAATTTGTTTTTATAAGAAATACAAAAATAACCCAAATTATACAATGTACATTCAGTAAATTGACAAGCTTCAAGTTTTCACAAGGGCTAACACAGTTTCTGTTTTAAATTTGGTTTAAAATCAACAGAAAGGGGTTACCACGTGCTGTGGGTAAATACACTAGTTCTGGGAGCTATTATTTTCGCTGCTGCTGTTGTCAAAAGCGTTGTTAAAGAAAACCTTCAAAAAAAAAAGAGAGAAGAAAAAGGAAAAAGAGGGGAGAAAGAGGGTTCGTTGATTTCATAGAGCCTTGAGTGCCAGTCAAACATTAACACTGTTTTCTTCGCTTTGTTTGCCTTCCTGCTTGCCTTGATTGCTTTCTCCCTTCCTTACACCCATACACCCACACTGCCTGACCTCTTCTTGCTCCTGTTCTCCATACTCCCTAAATTACCTACCCATATGCACCACATTAAAACATGGTATCATCTTCTCTTCCCATTACATCCATCAGAATTGTCAACTTTGCAAATTTACTGTGAGGGTCAAATAACTAATATTTCTATGCATTGTCACAGTTTATAGATTCATGCTATTAAGGGAGATTACCAACTTTCGGCACAAAAAGTTTATAATGCTCCCATTTGCTGAGAAACAAACAGAAAACCTAAAAGCCAGAAAGTCTGGACACAATAGATTATTAACTTCCCTATTTTTTTAAATCTTGCAATTGTTACAAGCCTTCTTCATGATCCTTGATGAAGAGGACTGACATGGCTGACCTATATTCAGGGCTCTTCCTCTTCTACAGCACAGGTGCATTCCTCATCCTACCCCACAACCCTGCTCTTTGGATGCAGGGGTCATCTTCATTTTTCTGTGCTCTTGATTTATGGTCACTGTGTCTAAGTGTTATAATGATTCAAATAATATATAAAAACATTAGACAACTCATGGCCACTGCCTTCCCTTCCTAGGAGCTTGGGAATTGCTGAGTGCATTCCCCGCTGCTGAAAGCAGCCTGGTGTTTACAGTCTCCATGCTGATGTATGCAGATGGCTGGCAGCAGCGACAAGCTGAAGCATTGCCTCCCTTTCTGAAAGTACGTATGTTCCCTATCACACATTGCAAGCAGCCACAACAGTGTAGACTGAGAAGAAGACAAGAGAAGAAAGGATCCCAAAATATGGACCCAGGCCCAGTCGCTGCAGTATTTGGACCACTGAGGTTCAGTAGGAACCTTCTTTACAAACAAGCTGTAAGCAAGCTACATTTTGTCAACTGCTCCTCTCTTGCTGCCACACCTTCTGCACTATTTGGACTCTAAAAAAAAGTTAAAATTGCGCACCAAATGCTCTCTTCTGCAGAAGCATCTCAACTAGAACTGCTGCCATCCCAGTCCCTGGCAGTGAAGAAGCTTTTGCACATGCAGCATGCATTGTCCAAGAGAAAAAGCACGTCTAATAAAAATGAGATAAAAAGTATATTGATGAAGCCTATGATGCAGCTGGCTCAACATCAGCCTGCAGGACCTCATGATCCAGCTGGTATTTTCTGATTGTTGAGGTTGTTGCCACAACCTCAATGGTACCAGGCTTAGTGAGATGGAGAGGGCTATTGGAAAGGGATCCACTTTGGTCTCATTTGCTATGACAGGCAGCTGCAAGCCCACTAGACTCTGAAATTGGCTGCAAGGAAAGGAGTGTGACAGCCATGGAATAGACATACAGGAAACCATACACTAAATTTAGATACGAACCCTTTTAAAAACCACTGAAAGTGTTTGCTAAATGACAGACCCTTTTCTATAAGTGACACCGAGATCTAAGCAGCGTCACACTGGGCCATCTTAGAAAGCACAGGTTGACTTCTAAGCCTCCATAATGTTAAGCACAAAAGAATCTTTTAGGAGACTTGCCCATCAGCAGAGGAATGAGCACATAATCCATTAAAAAATAGAAGATAAAAATCTATTTGGAGAACACAAACTAATTTTGATTCTGAACATATCAACAACAAAGCAATAAAACAAAAACACATCTTTAACAGATAATCAAGTAGCAGATATCTAAGGCAAATGTTTGGAGACTGCAAAAAGAGTTCAACCTCTCAAAGATACTGCACTGTTTTGCAGCTTGTTCCCTACGGCACATTATTCTCATTTTATGCTAGTTCTAGGAATGATGTTTACTATGTAGTCAAATCACAAGTATTTGTTACACAACACTGATTTTCAGACTGTTTTAGTGTATATACTACTACACTGGGGGGGGGGGAGCTGTTCTAGTTCTCAGAAGGCTGACATGGCCTTCTCCTATCAAAGGGTGTTATCCTCCTCCTACAGGAGGGCAAAATTTGTTCCTGGGTTTACAAAAGATGTAAGTGTGGCCTGACAGGATTACTCGTGAGGATTATGCAAGGCACTGTGTAATAACTACTCCAGGGGAAAAAAAAAAAAAACACCCAAAAAAAAAACAGGTCAGCAGTCAAAAATCCCTTCTATCGATGTCAGACTGATCTGTAGTAGAGTGATGCATAGATCTTATGAGAGAAGACTTGTAAGAGGAAAAGAGGGAATATTTGTGTGTTCAGCTTTCTTTTTAGTTAGGGACTAAAATACTCCCTCCTCTTTTTTTTTTCCCCCTTGTTTTTCTTTTTTTTCTGAGGTTAATATATAACAGTTAGTAGTACATAAAAGGTTCAGTTTCAGGGGGAGGGAAGGCAGGTGGTTTACGTGTCAGGCCAGATTCAGATCCCATTACTCACATTAGCAAGCAGTTATACAAAAGACCCCAGTTACTTCAGTGGGATTAATCACAAGGTAAAGTTCCACTAAAACTGAATGAGAAGCAAAATTTGCCTCTAAATTACATACAGATCAGATGATATTTTAGAAATCCCAGATAATCTGTATAAATATATACCATCTAGCCAAAAGATGAGTTGTAACAAAGTTCACTGGGTTTTTGCATTAAAAATGTATATTCTGTTTCCTAGGAAGCTTAAATTTACCACTCATTGCAATACTATATGAAAATTTTGAGAACATAATCTTCATGCAATTAGAGATAATAATCTGAAAATCCAAATATTTTCTTGCACTGCTGGGAGCAAGAGATCTGAATGAAGTCATTGTAAAATGATAGAGACTCTTACTTGGCTTAACAGTTTGGAAACTCCTTTAGCATGTTCAAAATCTGGTCTTCCAAGTACAGTAGGCTCCTTATTCATCTCTCCCCTTCCTTTCTTGTACTCAGCCTTAAAAAACAATTAGTATGAATCACTATCAAATTAATTTGTTTTGCTTTATCAAGCAAAATGCAATCATTAAAGCCAGTAGAAAAGGTCTCATTTAGTGATCTGCATTGACACTACTGTTCTAATCCAAAGAAAGCCCTTCTCAGGCTTCATCTCGTTAACAATAACATATTTATTTATTGTAAAATACAACACACAGCATTCACAAACTCAACTTTAACCAAATGCACATCTTAAGCCTGAGAAATATTGTTCTCCCGATCAGGCAGAATGATTTACAGTGGCTCAGTATTTCTTACGACAGAGCCTGCAGTTTACACAAGATTATTTGTAGCAGCTGAAAATAGTCTTGAAACAAAACTAGGCTGAGGGGCAGCTTTTTGAAACGTAGGGTCAAATTCCATTCTCAGTTTCACGACTGCAATCTTGCTGATTGTCAGTGAGGTTGCACTGGAGTAAGAGAGCAGAATTAGTCCCACAAGGTTCATGTTATGTGATCTTTCCAGCTGAACTGCCTCCCATGCAAATTGCTGCAATTTTTTTCCACAATGCATTAGAAAACAGCACAGATGAATCAACAATAGGTGCTTTACGATATCACAAACTAAATTATCCATTGCCTAAAATAGGCTTCTTGCATTACTCAGGCACTGTGAATCAGCAAGGACACGTCATAACAACAGACTGAGAGAAATAAAAGCCACTCTAACTCCAATGGACTTGGAAGAGCAGTTAGTAAATTTGGGTGTTGAACTTAAAATTTTGTAGTTGTTCTTGCTTTTCAGAAAATCTTGAATATTCAAAAGGTAAATCTCAGGTCTCTTTAAACTCTCTCCCCATACCTGCCTAGTCAGCCTCACATTAAACTATAAGCAGTTACTTAAAATCTTGGCTCAGGACTTTTAATATATATATTGTTTAACCTGTCTACAATAAAATATTAAAATGCACCATACATTGCTGCTTTTCAAACTGCTCCTTGACCTATCCATTAGCAGATGTCACAGTGGGAGGGCAAAGAATTTGAGAGGGGAGTTCAGGGAGGAAAGTCCCCATGCAAGAAGCAGTGTGTTTGCACAGCTCTCAGAAGGACAGCAGGGAATTGCATTTCCCTGTCACTGCCAGCTGAGATGGGAGGAGGAAGGGGAGTCCCAAGATGTGAGCTTCTCTTGTACTGAGGTGAAAAAAGGCTTGGTATGTCTTCAGAAGCGCAGTACAGCATACAAGCATATGACTTATTTTGAGAATGATTATCATGAATAAAGCTGAAACAAAACCAACTTTAGGAAGCTTATGGTTGTCTTTAGATCAATGACAAATAATTGCAAAGGTCATACTGTCAACATCAAATTAGAAGAAACCCATAACTTTGCAACATACCAGACAAGGTTAGTGGGGGTTTTGTTTTTTGTGGGTTTGTTTTTTTTTAATGAAACCTCCACATCAGACTTGAGGTTTCAGGTTTTCTGCTTGTGACATTTGAGAATTTCAGCAGCATTCTAAACAATCTGAATGACATTGGAATAATATGTCTAAAAAACCGAAAAGAGTAACAGATGAACATACGTTGCTCACTATCTTTGTTATCTCAGTTGCCATCTTTATGTCTGGCCTGTTCAGCACTTCAGTGTATCTATGAGTATCTTGCACATCCTTCTTATAGGATACCTGTCAAACAAAAAACAGTTTTGTTTAAAATAGACAAAAATGTTTGAAGTTTATAAATAAGCTTTGAACGACCTATCAACTCAGCCATCAAATTTAATAAAACTCTGCTTGACAGGGATTATTTAGTAAAACCCACACACAGGTTAACAGGAAACATAAGAAATTCAGAAGCATAAAATACAGTATTTAAATGAAAATGGTTTTGCTTAGAAGCGTAGTAGAAAATGAAAACACTGCAAAGACTGAAATATTAGGTTTATCATTAAATTTCAGAGGACTTCTGAGAGTATGGTATTTTTGCTATGCTGTGCTCTTTTTTAACATAAACTAAACCCGCCACGATACCAAACACCGCAGCCTGGCAGATTGCAGCTACACTGAACCGAAACTGCAATGCTACCACAGCAAACATCTTTCTCAGTAATAGGCAGCCATGCAGCTGGTACGTAACTCAATGACACAACTCCACCTCAGCATCCCCCCACTCCCCGCTACTCCACTTATTTGCTCCACTGCGCAATCATAGGAACTAGAAGGCTGAGTGTTCCAGCATGCGGAACACAAAACTGAACCTGTTTGTGCAAAAGCCGCTACTATAATGAATGGACTCAGAAAGCTTTGGACAGAAGGCTAAACCACGGGTAGGAGAGTCCAAGCATTCTTCATTTAGCAAAGCAATCACAGGAACAGCACAGACCTCAGGGACGTTGCAGAGCTCTGGGACCACAAGTTATCCTTCTCCCTCTTCAGGGTAGACTTTTCCTTCTCCCTTGCTGTAGCACATGTGCCAATCTAAGCCAATTTCCAAGAGCTATCTTACTGAATTATTCTGAATGATTAAGATAATCATCAGATAGTGTCTGACAAATTGAAGTTTCAGGCAAAAGTTAGAGAACACAAAATTAAGTCTACAGAAAATAGAAAGTATTGGAATAATTCCTGCTTTACTGGACAGTCTTTTATATTTTCTATTGCTTAATAAATTTAACCAACCTCTCACCCCAGTATTTCATCATCAAGAAAGTCCTCAGCCTGAAGCTTCACTTACAGCCTCTATTCCTGTTTCCAACATAAAGTTTCACTCTGGGTACAATGCAACAAACTCATAAACTGCAGCACTCCACAACAAATATAATTTGTACAAATGTTATTGTAAAAAGAAAAGAAAAAAATCTTACTTTTTGGCAAATATTTTACAGGCAACAGGAAAGTAATTTTGCATCCATATGGCTTTAGCTAAGTAGACAAGCTAAATAGGCTTCAGTGTTGGCTGCTTGCCCACAAATAGATCTTACAATTTTTTAATCTACAATGAGTGACAAACAAGTGTAATCACTGATAAAATAAACAAATAAATAGGTTGGCTGAATACAGCCCAAAGTATCACCTACCAAGAAAACAGAAACTGATTCTTGCAGATGGTTTAAACCGCTGGAAGATTTGTTTTGGTTAGGTTTAGATTTCCTCTATTTTTTTAAGAAACTAGATGTACAGACAACCATTTGCAATTCAAGGCTTTACATGAATTTAGTTAATTATATGCTGTTTATCCTAATGACCACATGAGGTGAGGTGAAAACCACAAAGGCAGCAGAAACAGGTTTCTGAATAGCACCCTATCATCCATGTAAATTGCAAATTAAAGGCCAGCATATGTGCTCAAAATAGAAATTAGGAATGGAGTGAATTTAACAACAGAGAATCAAGAATAGTGGTGATAAAGTTGAGGAAATGTGGTCACTTATTGCTCCCAAATGACATGATCATATAGTACATGAAATAATGGATTGTGGTTAATTTCAGGGGGAAAAGGGGGGTGGAATAAGACAGTGACAGTCCTTTATATTTCACCATTTCCAATTATATTAGATGCAAGGCCAATTGCTATAGTTTTCCCAGAGTGAATTATTATTCTTCCTGCACCTAAACCAGTATACCTATTACTTATGTCTGAGGGAAAGTCATCTAGCATTTTACAAATGTCTGCAATATATATTTGCTCCATTCTGCAGCTTGTCATACTCCAGTGAGAATAAAAATGTTATGCAGCAGAACAGTAGTTTGTCAGAGGTAGGCCAAAGAAAGAAAAAATATGTTTCCCATTTCCTGAATAACCTCAATCCCTGGATGCTGACCCTTTCCCACTGGGACAGTGTGCTGGCCTCTATTACACAGCTGCTATTCTGTTCCATGTAGCGATTTTATTTTTTTATAGTGCTATGTTGGAAAAGTAAAACCAGAGCTATTCCAAGAGAGCAGGGGAACAGATGTAGACAGGGCAAAGCAACCAGCTTGGTGTGTGCACCGATGGGCTCCAAGAAGATGGAAAGTTAAGAACCCCACAAGAGAGGAGAAGAGAAAACAAAGCCTGGTCAAGAAAACAGCAGAAGCACCCCGGGAAGGGGCCATCTTTTCTCCTGAGTTGGTTCAGCCCTTACTGAGAGGCTGGAACCCTGACTGGAACCTCCAGGCATTACACGATGCATGTACTCAAACTTCACTTCAAAGGGTTGCTAAAGCGCTACCAAAACACATCACCAAAGGTTCAAGAATTGCTTCTTTTTATGAGGACCACAGGTCTACAAAACATCTGCTCAAACTGTTTTGCAACTGAGATACTGACAAGATAAGCAATGAAAGACCTAAATGGAGAGTTACAGCAGAGCAGCGGGAATTGCAAGCAAGAAAGAAGCAGGGACAAAAAGGGAGAAAAACTGTAGCATCTCCAGTTTGAAGTTGCTAATAGTAAATTGAAAATACTAACTAAATTTAAAGTGGTTTTCTACCCTAATTTGAAATTACGATATAAAGTGGTTACATTATTGAATATTATTAGAAACAACAATAATCTGAATAAAAGCCACTCTGATGATTACATACTCTGAATTGCCACTAGTTTTTGAAAAGCATGGAAAATATTCAGTGCTTGCTTACAATCAGTAGACTAATTTTAATAAGGCCACACCTCCATCTCTTATAAAAAGGCATAAGGTCCACTCGGGATAAACATGCTGGTTTATTTAGTCCGGCTGAGGGTCTAGAAGGTGCTTCACCTTTCATGATGGTGAGAGTACACTGGAATGCACTACAGTGCTGCAACATAAACAGATTTCCAAAGGTGCTGCAAAACATCTCAGGTTGTCAATCAACAAATTGAAACTTCTGCTACATGGTGACCCAAGCACACCTAAGCTTGAAGACTCAGACCTTTCCTGCAGTCTTTTCTCCCCCATTCCAATTCCAGAACTATTCCAAGCTATAGGTAATAAATTATTAAAATATGCATAAGCAGCTTGAACACATTTTGCCCTCTTGAGATGCACACACAGTAGTCAGCAAGGAGCTGGGCACACCTACCTGCAAGAGAATTTGTCTTTTACTGCCTGTTTCTTCTTAGTATTTTCTAAGAGCTGTAAGTTCACTAACTAATGGCCTGTCAGCTGTGTCTCTGCCCCCTTTTCTCTCATCTGCACTTTGGGGTCCATCAGCACTAAGAAAATGACTAGCTGGTGACAATCATCATTGGCAACAGCTTTTCTGATCCCCACTCAAATGGTGTTGAAAACTGTTTCCCAGCCTGTGTAGAAGAGACAAACACATTTATGGCCTATTACAGATTGATGCAGTCATCCTTTCCAGTAATGGGCTTGAAAATTGATTGGTCCCAATTACATCAGGAGTAAACACATCATTTTCAGCACCAGTTGGAAGTGGTCCAGGGGGACCTGCTGTTGACAACCACTGTCAGCAGAAAGTTAGTCAGTGAAAGGTGATTTTTCTAATGCAGATGTTGAACAGAGAACCCAGAGAAGCTTTAACATTACCTGCATCAAAACAAAGATCAACATTTTGGTATGTTATTGATAGTGTTTAAGGACACTAAGTTTAAGATATGCTGATTTGGTCTTACCAGAAAGAATGTAATCTTGTGAATTGTGACTGCACAATAGCCTCAACATGAAAAAAAAAAAAGCCTTACTCCTAAAACAATATAGACCTCTTAAATATTCAAATTTAGATGGTCAGTGGAACATTATAAATTACCCCTACTGACATCATATGGACTACAAAGAGCATACATATACATCAAAAGTTTACACAACTGTCAGACAATGTCTTAAATGCAGCGCTGCTTCATACATAGGCTATAAGAGAAAAGATACCCGAGCTCCAACCTTAGATATGCAAACTCTCATTTAAATGTCCACAGTTGAGGCTATTGGGGTTTTCTTATTTGGAGAATCAGAACACCACTTCCTTATTTAGTACATGGTACAAATACTAAACTTTTTTTGCTGTTCATAATGCCCAGTGATGGACCAGGTCATGGAACAGACAAAACTGTGATCCACAGCTTTGTTTACCTTGATCAAATGCTATGTGCAGCTTCTACAGAGGCACAATGTGGCAAGTGTTTTCTTTGCTTTAGGAATTCAGTTGTCATGTCATTTCACTATTCAGTTTTTTCCATCCATGTGATCCTCAACTACACATAAGGTGAACAACTATGTGGAGACCTGATGGTTTTCTAAGTGCCACCACCTAGTTTTGGTCCCAAGTTTGGAAAGCTCCAGAGGAACTAAAAGACATCAGCCAAGCACAGACATAAATTACGCTCATAGTCCCTACTTCACTTTTCTCCTAATGCCTTTGTGTGCCAAAGTCACACCATTAACATTCACTTCAGAAAACACAAACACAACTTGCAGAGAAAAGTCCTTTGGTTTGGATAAACATGCTTTCGTTCAGGCATTATGTAGTATTTACATTATTTCTCAAGTAAATTACCTATCATTAAAACAGTCACTTTTGTTCTTTTGAGAGCAACTTTCTTCAGTCTAAGTACAAAGAAGAGAAAAATGTTTTTCTCATACATGATCCACTGTTCAGGAAATTTTATAGCGCTTCCCTATTACACAGCTTCAGCCCACGCTTATAGAGCATGTTACTGATATTCAAAGTGGTGCGAAGGCCTACAGCACATGACAGTTTCAAAATGTCAGCACAAATGTATTTTAAGTTGAATACAGTCTTAATTTTTAAAGGAAATTGCACATTTCACAGAGTTGTGTGTAAATGTCAGCCTTATTTTAAGGCTGAGTAAATAGTCTTAAACACATCCTAATCCTATTAGATGCAAACCCTGCATGTAAAGGTTGAATTGAGTTGGCAGAGCATTGTAGGTAAACATGCATTCTGGTCCCGTAGGTATACTGTACTGAGTGCTGGATAAAAGAGCTTTGTCCTTTTATTCCCCCAGTAGTTTCTCTCCTTTTCCTTGTACTTTCAAAGCTGTGATTCTACAAGTAGCTTGAAATAGTTCTGAAAGACAAACGCTCCACATTTGGGATGCTCACTATTCCACGCTCTGACTCAAAGATGAAAGCTCACACAGCTCTTAATTAAACCTGTACTTACAAAACAACAAATCCATAGCTATTCACAGTGGTGCCCAAACACTTGCAGCAGCTGTGTAACTTCACTGAACAATAACTGGACTTACATAACTTACTCCTTTATGTGTGATAAAGATGCATCCCCATTTCACTGCAGCTCCCCATGAGCAACCAGAAAGAATCCGTTCTTGAGCAGATGAAATTATCTGGTTAGAGTTTTATGTTGGATACGGAGGGTTTGTCGGATTTTTTGAAGTTTGCTCAGGCTGAAAAATCATTTCCCTTGTATTTTTTCATTATTTTTAACATGCTGGTTTCAGTTGTCATTTATCAAAACACCCTTGCCTCCTATGTTTGCCTTCATTTTCTTTTATTATTTTGGGGTTTTTTTGCTTGCTGTAAGAGTGAAAGAAGTCAAAACAACTGAATTTCATTTACTAGCACACTAATCCTCACACCATGATAAATTTGATTAAAAAACTCATCTCGTATTCCTCCTGATGTCACCACCTTCTCTGAGAGGGATTCCAATGTCTCTTCCCAACATTATGTCCACCATTATTCCTACTGCTAGGTAAACAAAAAAAAAACCTTGCTTATGCGGAGAGAAGTTCATGTTCCCAATTCCTACACTCTGTCAATCTGACATCCTGATGCTTCCAACAGCAGTGACAGCCAGAATTTGACAGGAAGAGGGAATTCTGTAATCAAGACAGGTTGCAAATTACTGCTGGGATTTCCAACACAGGTATTTCCCAGCAGAAGAAGAAGTTATTCTTCAAACATAATGCTTCCCTGAAGTTTTCCAGAAGCCTTTTAATCAGCAGCCAGCTGTCAAGATTCTGCACACACAGATATACATCTAACATTGACATTTAGTTTTCAGCCTACATACCCTAAGAGTGTTTGTTACGCTGTCAGGAGGGAAGATATAGGGTAAATTTAAGAAAATTCAAAATGAACACCCAAGCTTCCTTTTCTACATTGTTAACAGCAAACAAATATCCCATTTATCTGGGAAACAAGTGTTACAAAATCACCTACTTAACTGACTTGGTTACCTCAGAAAAATGGAAAAAAAATCATAATTTTAAAGGTATTTACATGTCAGCTGTTCTTACTGGTTTTGTGTACCCTATAAGAAGACCCACCTATTTTAGCCAATCTTCTCTTAAAATTTACTTTGCTCATAAGTAAGCTTTTACAAAACCTAAAACTAACATATGTTTTTCTTTACAGTTGTGTTGTTTATATCATTCAAGACACTAATCTTGGTAGCATTTCTGGCCCCAGCAATTGTGCATTGGGCTAGTATAAGCTAGCTTAACCACAAAATCCAAACTGACTTGAGACTAATTATTATTAGGGAGTTAGATTGTGAAGTTAATTATACAAAAATACAAAACTACTTTAATGACATTAACGAGCAGATCTAAAAATAAAAAAGGTAACCAGCTTTAAAGATATTGCTAAACATTCTAAATTATCTAAGTTACCTAAATAAAACTACAGAACAAATACATGGGTCAATTTCAGTCAATGTTATAAACTAATGCCTGCCATTAAACTGAACTCTGTGCCTCAGATTCTGTAAAAAAAAAGTCATAAACTGTCCTTTGAAAATCATTTGATATATATTCAAAGAGACAGGAACAATGTTATTTATCCACATAAAAGTGTGCAAGAGCACAGTAGAAACAGCCCCCCTTCCCTCCTCTCTACAGAATCCTGAAGAACCAAGTGCTGGCAGTGTAAGACACTGAAACTATGCTGGTAAGGTCTTCATGTAAACAAAGAGTTTTATACACTTTTAAAGCACAAGTAGGTACACATGAATTCAGAGAACCTGTGTTTGTAATTTTATTTCAAAGGGATAGCACTTAATAACAACTTCTACCAATAAACAACAACTACTTCATACTGAAGTTTAGAACAAAAGGCACATACCATTACTTGCATCGTATTTTAGACACACATCATGTCCCAAATTACTTCAGAGCAAATAATGTAAAAACATACCAACTAATGAAATATGAAAACATTCCATGCCCAATTCATTTCAGTTAATAACCCCAAACAAGCAAATAGATGGGGGAGTACTTACATCACTCTGGTATTTATTGACTTCCATAGCATGCTTAATATCTGGAGGCTCCTTCATATGTGCATAATCTGAAGTTCCTTTCTCAGCATCATGCTTTTGCTTATAGAGAACCTGAAAAGAGCAACATTATACTTTTGTGGCCACATCCAGCAGGTATAATAACATGAGCTGGGTTAAACCTAGTGACATAGTGTGCCTGTATTCAGGAAGAAATGCAATAACTAATTAAGCTCCTTAATGGAACCAGAAACCTGAAACAAGAGCAGCTTCCACCCAAAACGGAGACATACGAGGCACAGTCAGCAGAGAGACTTCTCTGCTCTGTTTTTGCAACAGAGGTACCAGTAGACAGGGGGGAGAAAAATATACTGAAACAGAAAATTCGCCTTAACAAGGTGAGTCCAGGGAAAACGATAAGCAAAAGCTTTTTTTGCTCAAAACAGACTTGAAACTATCAGCTAAGTGACTATTTCAGGTTTAATTTTTTCCCTGTTTACCAAAAAAACCAACAAAACCCCAGATTTTGTGCATGCCTCATAAACAAAGAGGTTTACATGAAATACTTACAGCCCAAACATCTGTTTCTTCCTCTTTTCGTAAATTATTGGCACAATACACATTTTGACTAGTCCCCAGGTTCTGGGGGCTCGAAAGAAATCTTTACATTCAATTGTCATCATGATAAAGGAAAATGGAATTGTAGTGTGAGTTTACAAACAAACTTATTTTTGCAATAGAAACTGAGCTCAATGTTGGGCATTCATCCAGCTTTCACTATACTCTGTTATACTTACATATACACACACTCACACACTAAAACTGCCTGCAAAGCTGATCTTGCACTTATCCTTGTCAAAAGCTTTTAGGCTTACGTTAAGAAAAATTCACCATGTTTTGATTTTTGAAGAAGCAGCAAGCATTAAGAAAATTCATTTTCTAATAGCTCTCAGGAGCAAGCATTAAAATAATCCCCAAGAAAACAGAAAATACTAAATAAGATTGAAAGCTGATCAGAAGGAGAAGGATTTGAAACTAAAACCCTTGTCAGCAATTAAAGAATACTGTGAAAGTTTTGAGATGGGAACTCTACACTACAGTGATTCAGATTCTTTTAGGACATGATACTAGAACTCTGAGAAAATGTTGTATCTGTTTGTGTTTAAGGCAGCAAGATTGCATGTGAGTCACAGATCAGGGTGCCCAAGGCAATATATTAGTATCTCCCCTGACCATCTCAGATTACAAAATGACATATAGGCTGAGAGATTAAGACAAAAAGGGTTGGGGTTATTCTTGCACTGATACTATATGAATGAAAATCAAATTAGTAAACTTAAAATGTGCCATCTCCTTATACAGTGTAAATCCCAACATGGGAAAATTAACAGAAATGACAATTGAGCATCCACTATATTGGGAAAAGATAACTGTTTCTTTAGTTTAATGTAGGAATAATTGACTTGCTATTTGACAGCCCTGTTCTTCCTAACTTTTCACATTATTTTTATTAACTAACTTAAGTAACCTTGAAGTGATCACAGGCTAAGAGGAGTTCAATAGCTGTCTAGTTTAGTTTTGGACAGTTTTGTGCAGAACTATTTTCTGATCTGTAAATCAGTTCCAAGGAAGCATGAAAAAAATGCTGATGAGGATTATTTCATCAATATTCTTGGAACCATTATTTTACATGTTAGTATGCGTACATTATTTTCTCATTTCATGTTAATTTTCAAGTTTTAGCTAAACTGATTTTTTTGTATCAACTCTATATATGAAACTACTCTACATAGAGATCGAGTATTAGAGGTCATTGACATAACCTCTGTACTGGCACCATTTATTAACTTAAGAAATACAAGGTAATTATTTAAGTAGGCATGACTTCAAATTGAACTAATTTGTAAGCACTCATTTCTTATTTTTCTTTTGTCTATTGTACACCAGTGTGTCAACAGGAAGCTGCATTAAGGCTTTGTGCTCTTTTAACTTAACTCTGATTGACCCTCCACTTTGGAATACTTTAAACACTATTAAATTTTTATTTTTGTATTTCTCTTTATAGTCAGAAAGATGAGCCCTGAACTTAAAATCCACAATGTAGGATTGTGTAGGAGGAAATGTTCAAGAACACAGAAAATGCCATTTTAATCACTAGATACTGAACTAGACTAGCTGATGTATTTGTGTAAAACAAACTACAGAAGCCCAGAAGGGCAATACCTGCTACCATAAAAAAAGAGGAAGTCTTGAACATGAGATTTGAAACCATAAAAAAAATGAAGAATTACATAAAACAGCCTGATAATGTGTAATATGACTGTAAATGATGCAGTAAGCCACAAAAAAAAATAGCTTTATCATAGTAAAAAAAACAAAAAAACAAAAACAAAACAAAAAAAACTCAAATGAAAGTGAAAGAAGGATTCTGCCTACAAGGGAGAAAAACTCTGAAACTTTCTCTTGAAGTTGAAAATATTGCTTAAGATTCACTTGGTTCATCATCTTTACTAACAACCAGAAAATACTTGAGCATTGACGTATAGTTACTATTTGAGATATTGCCCTGTTCAAAGGAGAAAATTAAACCACCTTCAGTTTGCTTGAGATTATTCCTTTCAGATAAGAAGAAAAACGGTGCAATCTCTTCTTATGGCAGAAATAAAGTGATGAAAAAAATGATGAAACGCATACTTTTTTTTCAACACTATTTCCCCTTTAAGCAATTTCAAATACCTTTATCATTGTTTGTGACACCTTATTAAAAAATTGCTCTGCATAAGGAAGGATTCAGTTTACTGGTCTTCAGACAAGAAAAAGAGTTGGCACAAAGCTAGCAATGATCAGAAATTTTCCTTCAGAAAAACTGTTCACAAGAAAATTGTATTTTTTCCAGAAAATGTCCATTTCCTTTCGGGAAAATCAAAATGAGGGCTCCCTGCCTGGACTGCTCTCATCAACTTCATTTTCTCATTGCAGAGAACAGGGAAATTTGCGAGAGCTTTGTAGGCTGGCAAGGAGGGTGAAGTTACCTGGTAAGGACAGGGATTTCTGCTCTCTCTAGCTTACAACGGGGACAGCCATGATAAAAGAGATGAAGAGAGGTGCTTGCTCACCCTGAAGAAAGCTATTTAGAAGGAGATAGACAAATATCCTGTGCAGAGGAAATGGATGAAAACCACCTAAGTATGTGGGGCTGTGCAAATTCTTTTTCATTCTTATGAAACACTTTTTTTTTCCACGAAGAGCATCATGATTTTTTTTGTCAAAATTTTTGATGCATTTCCTTCTCTATGAGCATTCATAACAGTTCTACATAAAATACAAAAAAGCAAACATGAGTTTTATGCAAAAGCCAGCAGAAGTAGTCTGGCTAAAGTCTTTTCTCTGTATCTTTCTGTGCATTCAAGAGGCTTGTAATAAGTGGAAGCAAGGACAGGTGGCATGGGAAGAGTACAGGGATGTTGTCCAGGAAGCTAGGGACCAGGTTAGGAAAGCTAAGGCCCAGTTAGAATTAAACTTAGCTAGAGGCATTAAAGATAACAGGAAGGGATTCTACAAGTACATAGCAAATAAAAAACAGACTAGTGAGGATGTAGGCCCCCTCAGGAAGCTCTCAGGAGAACTGGCTACACAGGATTTGGAGAAGGCTGAGGTTCTGAATGACTTCTTTGCCTCAGTCTTCACTGGCAAAGGCTCTGACCAAACCACCCAAGTCTTGGAAGGCAGATGCAGGGACTGTGAGAACGAAGACCTTGAGCCCACTGTAGGAGAGGAACTCGTTCAAGACCATCTTAAAAATCTGAATGTGCACAAGTCCATGGGTCCTGATGAGATCCATCTGTGGGTCCTGAAGGAGCTGGCAAATGAAGTTGCGAAGCCGCTGGCCATCATATTCAAGAAATCGTGGCAGTCAGGCGAAGTTCCCGATGACTGGAAAAAGGGGAATACAACCCCCATTTTCAAGAAGGGGAAAATGGATGACCCAGGGAATTACAGAGCAGTCAGTCTCACCTATGTGCCTGGCAAAATCTGGGAGCAGATTCTCCTGGAAGGCATGCTAAGGCACATGAAAAACAACAAGGTGCTTGGTGACAGCCAGCATGGCTTCACTAAGGGGAAATCCTGCCTGACCAATTTGGTGGCCTTCTATGATGGGGCTACGGAGCTGATGGACAGGGTAGAGCAGTTGATGTCATCCACCTGGACTTGTGCAGAGCGTTCGACACTGTCCCGCATGACATCCTTGTCTCTAAACTGGATGGACATCAATTTGATGGCTGGACCACTTGGTGGATAAAGAACTGGCTGGATGGCCGCACACAAAGAGTTGTGGTCAATGGCTCAATGTTCAGCTGGAGACCAGTAACGAGTGGTGTCCCTCAGGGATCAGTGTTGGGACCGGTCTTGTTCAACATCCTCGTTGCTGACATGGACAGTGGGATTGAGTGTGCCCTCAGCAAGTTTGCCGATGACACCAAGCTGTGTAGTTCGGTTGATAGGCTGGAGGGAAGGAATGGCATCCAGAGGGACCTTGACATGCTTGTGAGGTGGGCTGATGCCAGCCTCATGAAGTTTAACCATGCCAAGTGCAAGGTCCTACACCTGGGTCGGAGCAATCCCAGGCACAGCTACAGGTTGGGCAAAGAGATTCAGAGCAGCCCTAAAGTGAAGGACTTGGGGGTGTTGGTTGATGAGAAAATGAACATGAGCCCGCTTCAGTGTGCGCTTGCAGCCCAGAAGGGCAACCGTATCCTGGGCTGCATCAAAAGGAGCGTGACCAGCAGGTAGAAGGAGGTGATCCTGCCCCTCTACTCTGCTCTTGTGAGACCTCACTTGGAGTATTGTGTGCAGTTCTGGTGTCCTCAACATAAAAAGGACATGGAAGTGTTGGAGAAGTCCTGAGGAGGGCCACGAGGATGATCAGGGGACTGGAGCACCTCCTGTATGAAGACAGGCTGAGGAAGTTGGGGCTGTTCAGCCTGGAGAAGAGAAGGCTGCATGGAGACCTCATAGCAGCCTTTCAGTATCTTAAGGGGGCCTATAGGGATGCTGGAGATGGACTCTTCATTAAAGACTGTAGTGATAGGACAAGGGGTAACGGGTTAAAACTTAAACAGGGGAAGTTTAGATTGGATATAAGGAGGAAGTTCTTTACTGTAAGGGTGGTGAGGCACTGGAATGGGCTGCCCAGGGAAGTTGTGAATGCTCCATCCCTGGCAGTGCTCAAGACCAGGTTGGACGAGGCCTTGGGTGATATGATTTAGCGTAAGGTGACCCTGCCCACGGCAGGGGGGTTGAAACTACATGATCTTAAGGTCCTTTTCAACCCTAATTATTCTATGATTCTATGATTCTATCTTGAAGAGGGAATTGAGCATGAATCAATACAACCAATATGGGGCAAAACGCCCTCAGGAGGAAAACTACAAATGTCAGGGTGTTGTACTCTCCATTGTAGTAAGATCCTGTCAGTGCTGACATTGAATGGCTGAAACCGTATCAAATGAGGTCCTGGCTCTGCTGAAATCCATAACAATTGCCATATCAGTTAAAGATAGTAATATGGCAGTCTGTTTGCTCTGGAGAGGACTGTGGAGGGCAGCTGTAGGTGGGCAATAATTTCTTGTGAGAAAAAAGAAATTTCACCCAGTTGCCTCCAAGTTCCTAAATTCTGAGTGTGAGCTGAAACAGTGCATAAGAGTAATAAATTGGGCTAGATCAAGGTAGGCTGAAAACAGTGCTGGTGGGCAGCAGCAGGGCAGCAGCACCATTTCAGGCAGCATCATATCATGGCAGAGACCATTTGTGGAGAACCGTGTAAAGAGATCACCCAGTAGAGGCACACTGGCCTCAGGAATTGTGTGCCAGCAGGCAGCAGTGGAGAGAGACTGTGGCTCTCTTTCTTCCACACCATGATCCCCTAGTCCTGACACACCTGCTTGGCACATGAGGCTATGGATCCTGCCAAGAACACAGCATCACAGAGAGAGAAAGCACCTGCTTTATCTGGCTATAAAAGCATTCAGGCCCATTCAAGAAGCATGAAAAGGGAGTCAAAGGTGTAAGTTTGTTCTAATGCGGATGGGGAAGAGGACACTCAATTTCCATCTCTCAGGAAATCAGCACCTATTTAAAATCAATATAATTGAGAAACAGACTGCAGATCTGTGCTTGTAACAGCCTTTTTGCAGGAGGGTTGGCACAATGGCCAGTTGATGCTGTTCCCTCTTCCTTCTATGGCATACCTGTGGTCTCCTCTTACTGAAGTGATGACCTTTAAATTCACAATCCCAGCTAGATAAATGCTGCAGAAATCCCCTCTGCCATATCCTGACCCGCTTGAAATCTGAAATCCTTGTATTAGCTACTTAGGTACCGCAGTGATAGGCAAAATACGGCTTAGATTTGAATACTGTAGAGAAGATTTTCCACTAGAAAATCCCCTAGGATTTCTCCCAAAGTAGCATTTAATTCAGGTCCACTATAACAGTAACCACAAGTTGGAAAAATGTGTCAGCATATCTTTAAGTTTTATGGTAGATTATGATTTATAACGCATCTATTCCTAAGGGGATGGTATGAATTTTACAGTAAAAGTTTCTGCTTAAATATTACTCATAGTATATGCATACTTGTTTCTCTATGACTGTTAGATGATTGAAGAAAAAACTTCAAAAAGTATCAAATGAAAATGACAGTCTTTTCCTTTAAAGGTTTTTTTCTGATGGATCAAATGGTTTCATTTTTAGTCTCGGTTATTTATCTTTTCTGCCACATCACCAATGTTAATTAACCTCATTTGTTTAAACTAATGTAGAATTTACACATTCAGAATGAATTCAGGAGTAAATTTGTGGCAAACTAGTTAACTAATGTTTTATAAATCAAACTAACGGTTGAAAAATGTTATACAAGTTTAATTCCCAATTTATTTCTACTGCAGTTCTTCTAATCACACACTTTACAATGCAACGCCCCATTAATGTCATTTCAGCTACTGTGCTACTTTAACTTGAGTGTATATATGTTCCATTTCAAACTATGGAAACTAAAACATGTTATTTTATTTGCTTAATATAGCCTTGCCTTGTTTAACACATTGTTTTAAATCAAAACATTTCTCCACAAGCTGCCCTGAGATATCAGTGCTTTCTTCTGTTATGAATATTTTCCTTTGCTTGAAAAAAAAATCACTGCATTAGAAGAATGCATACTGAGATACAATCAACTCTGTGGATTTAGGAGTGTGTTCACTTCACAGACTAGCTGTATTAAACTATACATAGTTAATAGCCTTGAAAGAGGAGAAAGGCAAAACAAGAGAAATGTGGAAATGCTTGGTGGACAGAAAGCCACGACCATCTATCAGCTGTAATTCTCAGGAGTAACAATGAAAATTTATAACTTAATTTGTATTACACATCCTTAACACTCATCATTCCATCGAGATCAATGCAAGTGAAGGGTCACCTGCCTACATTAAAGGGTATTATATTTTTAAGTCCCTGAAGGCAACTGAACTCAAATTTACTATTTGACGGGTTGTTTGCATGTTTACATGACTACAATATATTTGATTTCATAGTTTTATAAAATTTGTTGTAAATGGTAGTATGATGTAGACCATCAGAAATATGTTTACTGCTATCAGCAAGTGCCTATGAAAGTCATTATCTTCCCTTCAGCATCAAACATTTTGTAATGCAACTTTCATATTGAAATGGCTGCTGTATAAGATTTGTGTATTCTATAAACGCAGTGCAGTGTCACTGAGTTCAATAAATCCTTATTGTATTTATGATTTTCTAATGGATTTCATTGGCCTGATGAATGCACTAGCATTTTTAAAATTTATATTTAATAAACATAACAAGTAAGATTGTCAACATTTTGTAAATGAGTAATTCTTGAAGTTAAGAAGTTATGGTGATAAACTCTGGATGATAAACTCCCCCAAATAAATCAAGCAGGTAACCATATATCTATTCAAATACACTGTTAAAATTGGTCATATTCTGTCACACAATTTATCTAAAAATAGTTGTGATTCTAAAATTTTACCTTGCTCTGAAGTTGCATTAATTCCTTTGCAAATACACTGTCAATTGTAGCTGGCATCTGCTGATAAAGAGAGTTGGAAAGGTCTTTTTTAGCAGCTCCTTTATACTTCACCTAGCGGGAAGAAAAAGGTGGCATATAATGCAAAAAGTAAGATACAGGAATCATACTACTTTTTTTTCTATTCAATTAAATGTGATAGACTATTAGAACTAAAATGTAGTGCTGTAATAAACCTTCAGGTAAAACCAGATGTTTGAATAATAACTTTAAAATACTTTCAGTAGATGTATCTAAATTACAAAGCAGTAAAAGTATCTCCTAATTAAATTCAATAATTTGGGGGGAAGTATAAAAAAAGGTAAGCAAAGCAGTTATTTTTCTAGCCTTTTTAAAATCACCTCCAAAACCCAAAATTTTCTTTTTCCTTCCATTTTCCCAAATTGTGCACAACAGGACCAATGAGAAGCCAACAAAAAATATTGATTAATAAGCAGTAGCAATTAAACACAACTGGAAAAGACAGACACACTGAACTTAGAATGTCTGCCATCATTTCCACTTCATCTTTTCATATTACAGACTAATTTTTCAATTAATTTTTCTTTATCCTGTATTTTCCCTAGTGTTCAGTACTAGCAATTCCTAACAAAAGGGTTTTATGAGACAAGCCAGAATAATAGTTCAAAATCTGGGAGGGTTTTGCTTCAGATCCAAGATTTTCAAATTCATTAAACAATAATGTCAAGTATTGCTGTGAAAGTAATCATAAATATCAAAGATATCTTAAATGATACTGTCTAATGTCGTTAATTTACTGTGCAATATACAGCTCTTCATCAGAGACTGGTTCCCCATATGTACTATATGTGTTATTGCTGTTTCCCCGAACAGAAGACTCTTTTTCACTGCAGTAGGCATGCTGCTAAGAATTTCACTGCCCAAGTTTTGCAAAAACAGGTTGTAGGACACTAGAGGTCAGTAATTTACAAGATAAACCATCCATCACATCATTGGCTTCAGGTAATGCTGCAATAAGCGAACAGAGTGCTCAACCCTGATAACATAAAACATGCAGGTTTTAAAATTCTTAAATATCTTTACATCTCCAAATATTTGACTAATAATTAGCAGCTTTTCTTTGGAAGCAGACAGATGGATTTGAAAAATACGCTATATATTGTGCTTTGGTGGACTACAATGGTCTGTCCTTAGAAAGTATGATTTCATCACTTTTATGCCCCTTGGGATATTGCACTCTTTCTCAGACAACATGAAGACAAACATAGCAAAAATATTCATCAGATGCATTCATATACAATGTAGCCACACAGCAAGCTGATGTATATCAGAAACAGAATATAGAATGTATACAAATTACATAACTACGGACAGGGATATTGGAATGTTCTTTATCATAATCATAAATGTAGCAGACAAAAAAAAACAAAACGGCAGCAAACATTCAAGTCTTCCAACATCACAGTGACAGAAAAATCACTCAGAACCAGCAGTTCCCTAACAAAAGCAACTCTCTGCCAGGTAAAATTCCTGATGGTATTCTAACCCATGGAAAATAAGCAGAGATGTAATGCTACAACAACTTGTACCTGGGACATGATGAGCTGGCAGTAAACTCTGCTCTGGCATTTTGGAAGCTGCTGTTCTTTCTTTGCCACTACTGTTCTCTGTGTGTGTTATAGGAAGTCCTAAAAACTTGGCATGGATATGCATATGTATGCATGCTAGAGCTCAGGTGACCTGCTGTTGTCATTGACCTAATGTCGGCCCAGTCCATTCCTGAAGGAGGACAGGGGTAATAAGAGGGCAGCAGTTTCCTTGTCTCCTCTTTGATATCAGGCTGTGAATTCTCCACATTAGGGAAATTATGCACAGCCACAATTTGCAAACCTCATCACTGCACAATATGTAACAAGAAATCCTCTTCCTATTCCTATCCATCCATAAAATGGGGTAGGTAGGACTGCCTATTCAGAATCATTAATAAAATACCTTGGAATCTCAAAATTAATGTGTTGCAAAATTCCAAATTATTATTACTCACATACAGATTATACACTAATTATAGCAGTTTAAGTCACTTCAGCTTTAAACAGATTTTTTATTTGAGATAAGCCATCCTTCGCCTGCTAAAAAACACCATATTCAACTGAGAAAGAATAAAAAGCAAAGAGAATTCTTCATCCTTTTAGGTCTTACCTCAGAAATAAAAGCACCGAGACTTTTCACGTGTTTTAGCTGCGGGGTGTCAGGTACAAATATGCACTTGCCTTTAGATTTTTTAAACTCTTCTTTATAGTGTATCTACAAAGAGGAGGAAAAAAAAAAAAAGTTTAATTGTTCTTTAAAACCCCAGAAAAATAAACAATAGCTATTTTTATTTATTTTTTATTAGTAGTATTACTTGATTTATGGATACTATGCTGGGTGGCTTGCAAATACCTCAGGCTAGATCAAACTAAGCCATAAAGGGAAACACCCAGTTCTCACACACAGTACCAGAGTTATGTCAAAGCCACAGAACTCTTTAATAATGAAGATGAAAAAGATTTTTCTTTACATCTACAGCACATTTCACCAGTGTTGCAGATGTTCTAGCATCTCTAAAGAAAGGAGACCCAAATAAGTGATGTCCTTGAGCCTTGATCTCGGAGATAAAATTATTAAACTAACTTCTAAATCAGACCTACCAAGCACAAAATCTGTGTAACAATCAAATGCCCCTTTATGAACCCAAGAGTTACATGAATACATTCAGGCCACTGCCAACTCATTGCCTACAAAGCACTCCAACACTCATGACAAGTAATAACAGAATTTCTTTGAGACCAAACAAATTCTGAATTGAACCATTTTTTAAAGCTCATATGCACAAAGTAAACCATTTTTGAAGCAAAACACTAGAACATATTTTACAGGAAAGAAAAAAAAAGTGAGCTTTTGGGTTTGTGTTTTTTTTAACAACCAACCTTTTTCTTACTATGGGGCCAACAATATGGGGAGGTATAATAATCACATGACCATTGATAGAGTCAGTTACTGTTTCTATTAGTGAGACTGCAAGAAGGATAAAATCTATGGACACAGTGAATGTGTAGGGACTTTATTATGCAAGAACTGCATGAAGAAAGATAGTGAATTACAATGAGATGGACTAAATAAATTTCTAAGATAGACACTTTACATGGATAGCCTTCAACATTTTTAGTGACATTTCTTTCTTTGTAAATAGAATAATTTAGCTCAATGCAAATTGAATTATTTAGTATTAAGCTTTCATGGTTATTATCTGCTCTAACCTCATTTTCACATTCTGCACAACAGCGGCTTGCATTTATGCACTTTAGACTTGCTGACAAGCACTGACAGAAGCAATACGATCTGCATCTGAGCATTACAGAAATATGCAGTCTTAATTTCCTCTTTCTCTGAATCCTTAATGGATATCACAAGTTCTAGTCTATGCTCCTCTAGAGGGACTTGGAAAATTCATGCAAACTATGGCAGCCTATATAGAATCAGCTCCTGTATTTTCTGATGCAAACTTTTTGTCCACCACAGAATGGATTTGACAATGCCAAATTCACCTCGAAATGTTGACTACATAATCCTTACACAAGAAATAATTTTGGTTGCTATTGAGCCCATCCACATTTGTTCTACTGGCGGAATCTACATCTCATCACCAAATTATACTATCTGCTTTTGTGGATTACAGTCTATTCTAAATAAAAACTGCTTGGTGAAGAATGGATGTAAAATTACTGTGTGTAGTGATTTTACACAGGGGTCCACAAATCAAATGGTTTGTATAACCTGTATGTGACACCACACTCCTAGGTAAGCACAGAGCAATACACAAAAAGGGCAGTTTTATGATAAACATGAGCAGGCACTTATTGTTCATCCTGCATACACTTGCAAGTGTATGTAAGTATGTGCACATGAACAGCTTAAAAAAAAAGGTTTTGCAGATTTATGGTCATTCATGGCTGACAAGGGACATGGGAAATATACACAGCTGACTTTCTACTGGTTAGTTCTGCTGGTGTTGCCAGTAGAAACTGCCATAAAGCTGAGACTCTAGTAGAGGAAATGGAGGGTCTTGCTGCTCACAACTTAGATAAATCACCCATAGATATCCGAGAGCTGACTGTAATTACATCCATTTTAATTACAGAGCAATAATTACATTCAAAAATCAAACATAAAAGCTTCCTAAGGCATCCCTTAAATGGGGGAGGGGAAACAGGACACAACTAAAACAAATAATCAAGCTATTCTGCTGTAGAAGTCATGCGTTCAAAATAACCAAAAGCAGTAAAGGACTAATGCTACCTCCTTACGCCTTTATTATTCACATTTATTATAGGAACCCACAGAGGCCACAAAACGCATGTAGTCTCAAATGAGCAATTTAGAGAAAAACAAAATGGGTGGTCAAACTCTGATCCAACACATTACATTCTGCTATAGAAGTGTACGCATCACTTGGAATCAGAAAGATGGAAGATGAAATAGGACCTTCCTACCCAAACTGTTCAATGACTCTATGATCCTGTGAGTATAATGAAGTCATGATATCTGCCCTTAAAAAGCATATTTATTGTAAATGACATAAGCAAGAGGCTTAAGGGATTTGCTATGACTAAACATAACCAATGGTTCAAAGGAATAGGCAGAAAAGCTAATATTCCTCTTCCTAGTTTGGGATTACATATTCAAACGTCTAAAATACTGAATAGGAAATTTTGCCTGCAAGTGACTTTCCCTTCACCACAAAATACACTGTTTAGGTTGAGTAGATCTGGTAAGCCTTGCAAAAAAAATAAATAATAGGAAAAATTTGTAAATGATGGCCTGAGGCTGCTACTGCTCTTTTGAGTCCAATAGCTCACTCAAGGCCCAATTTTTAATAGCTACCTCCTGATCCTTTTCTTCTTCCTGACTCATCATAAAACCACTCTGACTGGCAGCGCAGCTATCCAGTAAAAGTGAATTAAAATCCCTAGACAACCATCAAAACAGTAAGCTTCAAATTGCATTTTTTATCAACTTTATAAACCAAGGACATCAAACCTTTGGCTGAAGCTTCTTGGCTCAGCAAGAAAATTCATCTTGCCCATGGCATTATTCATGGGGGAACACAGGAGAAGGCTGTGGGCTAAAGGAAAGGCTCTGATGGTAACAGCTTAATCCAAGCCACCACTTCTCCTTTGTGTGCAGAGGCACATGCTATTGTAACTTTAATATGAATACATTTGAAAAACTGTTCTTAATATCTTAACATCTATGATATAACCATGTCAACAGTCATTCAAGAACTGCATTTCTCAAAGACCCACCTAAGTTTACAAAAGCCACCAAAAGGTCTGAACCTTTGTATCCAACTCTTACGCTAGACCAAAAGGGAACTTTTTCCCATTAAGAAATCCCTTTCCAACGCTACATTTATAATCTCTCATAAGAGTAAGAGCTGTGTCCATATAATACCAAATGCTCTTCCTGTGGCCACAGAAACCTAGAGAAAAGCATGAGGAACAGGGCAAGCATATGATATTACCATCCCACAGCATTTTACTAGTCTGCAGCAATTTAGACCTCAAAGTCCTCCTCTGTCAGAGGCTGTGACTAGTAATCAGTTCAGAGGAGCAGCTCCACCCTGAATGAGGTGGTCACAACCCTACTGGTATGAGTCTAAGGTCATTCTGTTTCTACTCTTCACTCTAGGTCTCTTTGGCTCTTGCTTTATAACAAAGAGACAAGCTGAAGCAAAGCTGGACTCCATACAATGATGATTAAATGACAAGTTGTACTACTTCTTGATGTAGAGGAAAAGAAGCACCTGTACCATACATTATCAAAATTCAGCAGTATCTTCAGAAGGCAGAGTGTCTGCCTTCCTACCGGAAAAGATTACAATAGATTGGTCAATGATCATTTTACTCATACAGTAACTCCCCTCTATGCTTATAACTATTCACAACATCACACCATACCATCAAAACAAAAGAGATGAAAATATACCAAAATATAAGCAATACAAGAAAATGGACAGGATCAATTTCAATATGGAAGAGAAAAGGCCTGGAAAGGAAGGTAATTCATAAATCAAACACATACGACAGTTCTGTAAACATCTGTGGAATAAAATTTCTTAACGGAGGGAGATTAAATGAAATGGCTTTAGGGAGAAACAATCCAGGGGGTATCACAGCCACAGAACAAACATCTGCCAACCTCAAACTAAAACGGGATTTTCCTCAAGAACCAGAGCACATAAACACTTCACAACTTCCCCTACGTATAGTTCAAGGCTGGCAGTTAGGCGTGCACTAAGGGCTGCTGTCGTAACACTTTTTAAAACCACACTGCCAAATTAAAGTCAGCCTGCAAAGAATACAGGGCAAATGTAATGCAACCCCAGTATCTCAGTCTATGAGCACTCCTGGCACCGCATTCTGATGGAGGAGCTCTGCTGACAGCTCCACTGGCAGAAAACGACAATCACCCAGTCTTGTGGTCGGCAAGGACACAGGCTGCTGTCCCAAGGTCACCTTTGGGCCAAACTGGAAGCCCCATAAAACCACTGTACACATACAATGCACAGATGTACACCAACAATACATCCACAGTGGTTTGTGCAAAGGTTCATGTGAAAAATGAGGAATACATAGAGTTCTGAATGCTAATGAGTGAAAAGTCAAAGGCAAGAATACAAACTCCTTGCAGTTTATTGGCCTCCTCAATAAAGTGTGAAGGGTGAGGAACTTATCCCCCAGCACAAACAACTTCACTGGTCGTAAGAAATTCCAATTATAACAAGAATTCTGTGAAACAAAATTCTCTCCCTATACATATATGCATTCCATTCAAGCCAATGAAGAAACTCCTACTGATTGCAGCAGAGGCTCAGTAAGGCCCCAGAACTGGACACCATTTTTAAACAGTCTTTTCTTTGAAATTAAATTGTTCTAGACCATTACACACTACTACTCCTTTGAAAGCATTAATGATGCTTTGCCATTATGCTTTATAATTCTCAAGGAAAATCTAACATACTCGCAGGCTAAATGGATCACAAGTTTTCAGCAAAAGCCCAGATCCCTGAATTATTATAGGCTACAGAAACCTGCTTGACTTAGTTATTTACCTTAGCTCTCTGCAGAAAATCAGAGAAAATACCACTTAATTTATCACTTAATTAAGAGCCACAGCCAGCAGGACTCCTAAGGGGTACACAGCACAGTAATAATTTGTTTTCAATTAAAGAAAATATTTCTCCAGTATTTTTCAAGAAGTTTTTTGCCTTTGAAGACAGCAACCATGTTTAGAAAAAAGTTGCATGGAAGCAATAAATGTATTTTGGGTCAGAGAAATAGCTTCCCTTAAGGATATATTCAATTTTTAGCATTCTATACAAAATTAAAGTATTACCAGACAGTGCAAGGACAAAGAGGAACCTTTGACCTTGTCAAGTCACACTTTCAAGCCAGCAGTATAACACCTACACAACCCAGGTACCATATTTCTGAGTTGCCTATTTTTTTCTGATACACAACACCTAATAATTTATACCTTAAGTGTAGATTTTGTAGGTTCTATTGAAAAATCAACATACCCTTTCACCTTGAACAATAATATCCCAACAATAACAACAAATTTTTCAGTTACTTTAGAAGAACACTTGTTCCTCAATATTGTCTCCTCTGCTGCCAGCCACCATCCTCACAGGAGAAATAACACTCTTTATTGTCATTTACATGAAGGGACAAAGTTACTCTTCAGTCACACTTTCCCAGAGAGACACAGAAATAGACTTCCACAAGGGTAAATCTGATGCTGTTATATTGAAGCAATTGAATCTACTCCAATTTAAAATGTTTTAGATCCGGTCTATATAATGTCTATATCTGATCAACAGTTTTAAAAATCTATAGTAACTAAGTCGAGAATTTGCTAGCTCAATAATTTTAAAGATATTCTAAAATTTCAGTGGGTTCTTCCTGTAAGTGCAAATCAGTAATAAAATGCTAAGCAGTTGTGAGTATCTGTCACCACAAACCAATAGATAACACTCAAAATGCATCTGTTTTATTTTTATCGTCCCTCCTTGCAGCTATGTATACTGGCACCCAGTTCTGTTCTAACCAATCAAATGTCATAGAAATAGGCTATAACCAGAAAAAACATTGCATTTTCCTGATGAAATGAGCCAAGGTGTTCTCATGGGAGACACCCTCCACAGAGACCCACTTTTTTGACCACTCTTTTTCCTAGTACTTACACTTTATACCATCCAAGTGCTCTGAAAAGTTCATCCTTCCAGAGCTGATTGTTTAAGATACCAGAATAGGCTGTGCTTTTCTATTATTTTGTGTGCTTTTATATTTTGAGCCTTGGATGGGCACATGTTGCACTGCACTCATCTAAAAAAAAATTATGTATCACAAATATAAACCCACTTGAAAAGAGAAATGCAAACAGTCACTGTCACTTACATCACTGATTATTTGACTGCATTTTAGGGCCAGTTCCATATTTTTGTCCTCAATAACAGGCTTGAGGAAGACCTGCAAGAGAAAGGTAATCATTCCAGTTTTATTGTCCTAGAAGGGCAACAATTGAAGGAACTAAGTACTTTCCAAAGCTATTGGGATTTAACTCACCTTTTCTTCTTCTTCCCCATCCCCATTTTCATCCTCCCTGAGATCCTGAATGACAGATACTCGCATTTTAATACTCTGTAGAAAACAACAATGAAAATTCCAAAAAGGTTCAGCGCTGCAGGAAACAGCTCAGACCCTACAGCACAGCCGCAATCAATGCTTAATTTGGGTCACCCACCTAACTCTACCAAGGCTCCCTCCTTATTTAGGCAGCACTTGACAGTCTTATCTGAGCAATTCAGTGTGAGTGAACTGAAAGGCATTGCAGATGGCCTTGCTAGCTATCAGAGCTAATGCTTTCTTACAGATAAAATATAATTAAATGACCTATCTCAGTCAACTATTTTTAAAATGACTATGAACACAATTAAAATACAGCGGTGAAGTTAATTCATAATGTAATTTAGTAAAATTAATAGGCTTAAAGCATTGACTCTAAGCTTATGGGAAAACTGATTCAAAGCATCACTGACCCCAAAACCACTTATCATAAAACTTTAGTTTGTTTGGGTTTTTTTTATTTAAAAAGCACACTATTCTCATTTTCGAGTAGATGTAACTGCTAGTATATTTTTCAAGAAACACTCATTTTCCACAAAGCTTATAAAATTCCTTACTTTCCATATCGTGTCAGCTGTGGGTTAAAACTGCATACATAGATACAAACATGTCTGTACATTTATAAGTATACATGGCCATGTATTTAAACAAACACGTATGTTCCTTCACTGCTAAAAATCATCATGGTCTGTAGACTCAAAACCAACCTTTTTCAGTATGAAGTCACTGATTCCAGTTGCAAAGAAACTGAAAGACATCCTTGTGTCGATATAAGATACAAGAGAGCTTTGCAATTAGGCAAAGATATAAGGACTGTGTACTCTTAAAACACCTGTTTTTTAAGTACTTGTGCCCAAACACAATGTCCTTAGAGCTCATTTAAAAGCACACATTTCCTTAGGAAAGAGAAACATTCAAAGAAGAGGAAAAATACAGCATTTGACTTAACTAAGGTCTGAAAATTTAAAAAAAATCTTAAGATCACAGGTACAAAATGCTTTCAGTCTATAATAAAAAAGAGACAGGATTCTTTATACACTAATAGTACAGAAAGCATCATGATTTTCCATTCTGCTATTTCAAATATAAGCTCCTAAAGTTCAGATTTTGATTTGCATTGCTGAAGTTGAGGTTGGCCCTTAGAAACCTGGTTTGTACAGGTGAGAATTACCTGTGATTTATGCCGACTACTTGATACATTTAGATTTGTAAAATGGGTTCTCACAGTAATGGGTAATTTTGGAAGATTATGGCCACAGCAAATGTATTCCTAAACAATTGATCATGTATGATTTTAAGGACCGCATGTTAAGGAGACAGAGTACTTAAAAAGTGCCAGACAGAAATACAGCACCAAGGCTTCATTTGAGGATTTTTGTGGTAATATTGCAAAAACTATATTCTTCCAGCACAGTTAATTTCCCTTTCCATCCCACATTTAATACATCTTTTTAAGTGGGGACATTGAAAAATATTTAAAAGAGTAGAGAATACGCTTACATTATATCTGGTAGGTTTTCAGCAGCTGGACATACCAAAATTTATATATTAATTGTGGTTTTCCTGCAATGGTTTCTGCATAATAAAGATCTGCTTTCTCTTCAGAATGGTTACTTTTGGTCAGCCCTGAAGTGGTCAGGCAGTTGGATTAGACGATCATTATAGGGCCCTTCCAACTGAAATTGTCTATTCTATTTTGGTTTGTTATCTTTAACTGCATTGATGAATTCATTTTTTTCCTGGTTTTGCATGATCTGGATCAGGCACAACTGAGTGTTCAAATATGCTATATCCCATGTAACTTCCGAAAAAACAAGGATTTCAAAACAGCTTTTGTAACTCACCATATTAAAGAAAAATATATAATACTATGCATAAAGAGAATAAGGGAAAAAAATATCGCAATATCAGTAAGTATACACCAGGTATTCAAAATGGCACTTTTCACATAACAGATGCAGTAAGAGACTATATGACACACAAACCTGCCCCCCTTTTTTTCACCCTCAAGACACTGAATACTGTCAGATAACATACAGTGTGCAATAAAGCAAGCCTGAAAATTAAATATATCCAGATGCAATTCAGGGAAGAATTTGTTACAACCATTTAAGAGTTGCATGGTTTAGAAGAGCATTATGATTCTATTACCAGCCTGCAGGTCAAGAACAAGCTTAGGTTACTTCCATGACAGGCAATAAATAACCTAGGATCAGCAGGCATGTTTCAGATTGTAAATGTTTATATATGTTTACAAATATCTTTAAAACCATTCTAAAAATAGTAAATCTAATCTGAATAAAGACAGAGTTAAAATGCTGAGTTTTACATCTTCCAAAAAATTATTAGGTACTTTGTATTAAGGATTACTTTTCACCTGCAAAACCTGCACTTTTACTGAAACCCCCTAACCGACACTTGGAACCATTTTCCACTGTGTATAATGGAATAACCACAGTCATTTGTTTTGGCCTGAAATAGAACAGATTAAATAAAATCCAATTGCACAGAATTCTAAGAAAACAGTAATGGAGTGCTAAGCTGTGTATACACAATATTTGTATAGCACATGGAAAAATTTATTATTTATAATTTATTATTGCATTATGGATATCTAACTATGCACACAAAGGGGAGAAATCTGTTCTTCAGGGAAGTATGCGGTATGAACTCATTAAAATTTTGTGAGGAAATGCTGCATAGCCTCACATTTCGGCTTCCAGCCACTCTGCCTGGATATTTCACATCTCAGTTCAAATTTAACTCTAAAACGAGGACTTGAAGAAGCTACAACAAAACTGAAACAACTGTACGTTGTCTAGATTGTTCACAGAAGCACAGTATTTGCAGAACACAACTTTCACAGTATATGAACTTACAGACAAAAAAAGACAAGCCTTGTAGAAGCAAACTATATGGTTTGTCCTATAAAAGAAGACAGCTGAGTACCCCAATACTTACAGACATCATTCAATTGTGTCAATGTACTATTTTTTGGCACAGCACATTACTCAACTACTTGGTCTAAATGCATATCTGCTGAGGAGGCATAAGTGGTAAAAACATGGGGTATAAAGAAGCCTAAGCCCCCATGAGTACAAGTTGGCTCAGCATGCAAATGGTTCAGGCACACAGTTGTACAGCTTTCCTGCTTTGATCACACACAGCTGTGTCCACATCTGTCCAAAGCCCCGCTATCTCCTTGTCCCTTTATCAATCTTTTAAGAAATACATTTGGGAGATGTTAGCCCAGAAAGTTAAAAGGCTTCATCTCATTTTGGCCCTGATATACGTAGCAATTTAGCAGTGATGCTTAGTTCTGCTCTGAACAAACAATAACACTGACTTTTATGGCAAAATTTCTGAAAGCCCTCTAAGATCTGCAATATCCACATGTATTGCTCAGCTGAAAGAACTTTATCACTTCACAGAACAGTAGAAACTGTGCTTATCCTAGAAAAGGTAAAAGAAACATCACATTCTCAAAACTATTAAATTGTAGAGTTTGTTATTGGGTAGTTGAGCATAGGTTGCAAGCTAAGGACTGAGGTATTTCAGCTGGCAAATCTGTACACATTACAGTGAGAGGTATTATGAATATACTCCTTTTGATTCTGAACTGAAAACCTAGGAAGATTAGAGGTACAGTTTTAGTGCTTTAACTATCCTGCTTCCAACGAGTTAAAAATTAACCCACAGACATCCCAGAAATGAAAGTATTATTTTCTGTTCTCAGTGGAGAGACACACATCACTAAGTACAAATAATTCAACATGACACAGCTGGTGGTCTCTTTTCAAAGAGCACACAAAGTGTTTGTAAGCACTGAGATTCAATTACTTCTCATTACTAGAAATACTCATCTATCAGACTGGAAGTTACTAGCATAAGGAAGTTCATAGTTAAGCTATCAGTACCACAATCAACAAACAGAAAAAAAGCAAGGGATCCCAGCCTGCCAATTTTAACCTCCCCTGAACATGAAATACCAATTAATGTCAACAAAGGAAATTCAAGAGATGGTTCTATTTAGAGAAAAAGCTTGTATCTGTCAGATCATTAGCAGCGCATTTATCAACAACACTTCAAAACCTCCAAATATCTCATGGTTCTAAGCTAAGATTTTCATTCAATGAAGTTATTTTGTGTAAGGTTTTGGTAAAGCAGAGAGTGGCAGTGGTATTTTTAAACATGAATACAATAGGATTTCTGAATCTCAGAAAATGAATTTTCAGTGCCTAATAAATACATAAATATAGACACTTTTTGCAAACACATACTCATAGAGACTTTGTCTAGTCCAACTGGATCTTGATGATAGAGCATTGAAGATGTCGGTATGGTACAACTAATTTCACGTAATAATACCCAATCTAATCTCGTTACCAGAAGTAGTGTAGCCATGCCACCATGACACTGTCTAAGTTAATAAACTCCCACATATCTAATTATCCTAAGAAATGAACCCATTCAGAAGCAGGAGTATTTATCAGAGCACATGAGTGTGCCACATGGATGCAACCTTAGCTGTGGCCAGCAACAATACATTGAAGTAAAGCAGTATAAAGCTTTTTCACACATTAATGTATTCAGGAGAATAAAAAAAACAAACAAACAAAAAACCCTTGTATTTATTTTTCTGACAATATTCATATTTGCCTACTACATTTGCACAATAGTTTCTAACCTTCACAGATGGTATTCCCTAAATGGCATAATGGGATTATACAGTTTCACCAATTCTTTTTTTTTTTTTCAAAACTTTTTCATTTGACAAGGAATTGAATTCTCAGCCATGGAGGCATTTGGTGTTTCCATACACACCCCAGTATTTCCATTGTAACCAGGAACCTAAAAAACCCTATTGTTCCTAAAGTTCTCTTCACAAGTTTATGAACCAGCAGCTGAGATGCCATGTTTGCTGCATTGCAACTGTTTTGTCCACTCTACTGTGGCATTTCCCTATCCTGCCAAGTGTAATAAAGCTCCTTTCTCTTTCCTCAAGTGGTCAACTAGAGCTAACAGCCCTGGTGCATAGCAGCTGAGGCTCTCCATCATTCCCCACCTCTTACTAAGCCATTACAACAATGCATAATCAAGATACTTACTCAATGCCTACGAA